TAACACCTGAACCAATAGAGTCACATTTTCTTTGTGTTTTGGTCATTTTTAAGCAACTTTTCTGTATTTTACTGAAACAAATGACAATTTATGCCTCTCTTTACTCTTGGCAGGGATCAAAAATAGGGACACCTGAGACATTTCTTGTAGAAAACTGGGGCAAATCAGTGGCTTTGGATAAAACTGACACTGTCCAGGGTAAATAGTAGGTGTGCAAGAAAAAAAAAAATCGATTCAGTGACACGTCAAGATACTTTGCATACATTGGACAATTCTCGAATCGACTCAAAATGCTTCCAAATAGATTTTCTAAATAATACTTTTCACAAAGATGTATTAGTTACATTCACTGTTCTCATGATTTAAAACACGTAAAACAATATATTTCATACAATTTTGCTCTTGTGAAAGCATAGTTGAATATATTATTAGAAACAATTATTGATAAATCACAATATCTCATCCATTGTTTTAGTACAGAGATACTGTAAAATACCAAATAACAGCCGGGTTTCAATTTACCACCGGGCCCCTTTAAACACCGGATGAAGGTGTATCATTTGATAAGTAACTGTCAGTTCCAAATAAACACCAAGTCTAATATAGTCTAGTCCAGCAGTCAAGTCTAATGCAGTCTGGTCCAGCAGTCGAGTCTAATGCAGTCGAGTCTAATGCAGTCTGGTCCAGCAGTCGAGTCTAATGCAGTCGAGTCTAAAGCAGTCTGGCCCAGCAGTCGAGTCTAATGCAGTCGAGTCTAATGCAGTCGAGTCTAATGCAGTCGAGTCTAATGCAGTCGAGTCTAATGCAGTCGAGTCTAATGCAGTCGAGTCTAATGCAGTCGAGTCTAATGCAGTCTGGTCAAGCAGTGGTTGTGGCTTGGAGCTGCTCAAACTCTCATTTCCTGTTTTTTGTGCTTTATTTAACCAAGATCTGATGATTAGTGCAGCGACACACAGAGAGTCTGATGTTTACAGCAACACAGGAGCAGTTTGACTTCAGGTCAGTCGTGTCTTTAGCAGACTAGTTGTGTGACTGAATGGATAGGCTCTATTCTCAGTGCTGAGTCTGATCAGCCTCACCTTCACTGGAAAAGTGGAGGAACAGATGCGCTGCTGTGAAATCCCTATTTCCAACTGACATAAAAAACAAACAAACATGGTGGGCAGGAAATGGAAGCAGTTTTTAGAAGTTTGGTAATATTTAGGGCTGGGTATCGTTAAGAATTTACCGATACGATACATATCTCGATACGCTTTTCTATACAGTGAGCTTTCGATTCAATACGATTCGATACAATATATTTCACATCGATTTGATACGGTACAGTGTAAAAAAGGCTAAATGATGGCTTTAATACTAAAAGTCCACTAAGTTTGTGATAAGTGAATGTGAAAAACATCCATTTTACTCAAAACAGTGAAAATGTTAACACATCTGTAGCTCGCCTCTTACACAAACTAGTTTAGGGAAAATATACCTAAAATACTCTTGACGATATATCGATACAGCAGCCCACAATATCAATACTGTATCAGCACATTAAACAATACGATATATCGATATTTTGATATTTTTGCACACCCCTAGTAATACTACTTTAATTTGGCAATTGAGAGGAAGCAGCAAAGTCACCGTGGCTGCTGTGGCAAAGGAGCGAGGAAAGGCAGGGGACGAGGAGGCAGGAATTGTGCCCACAAGGTTGGAGTCAGGCCATTGTATAACAGCGAAGCCTCCTCTGTAAATGATAGTCATACTAGGTAAAGAATTTGACTACAATATTTTCCCAGTTTTGCTGAGCAAGATTTTTGTGAAGAAGGAATGAATTTCCTGTCCCAAATTGCCAGATGGTCTTAAATGCCTGCGCTGTTAAGTGACTGAAACAAATAAAGGCCCTGGCAATTATTTGATATTTTAGAGTATATTGTGACATATGGAATAGAGACGTGCATATCATGATATGTATTGTATCATCTAGGGCTGAGTATCATTGAGAAGTTGCCAATACGATACATATCTCGATACACAGGTGTGGGTTTTTTCGGAAGGTTCAATGCGTGTCCAATTACAACTGCCACCCCGGAACGACGTCTCTGCCCTACTCAAAATCAGGGGTAGCTTTATACTACATCTTGACAAAACATTAACTTGTTGATTTAGCATATACAGCAAGAAAATGAACAATACTGCTGACCCAGTACACCTTATCATGGGTGGGAACATGCCACGGGGTCCACATATGTCAGTTTTTCTGCTTCATGGCATCTCAAAGTACAGAAAAACATGTTCTATAAACCTATAGATAGTCATACGTGTTTTCCACCCTGTTGTCATTCCAAAGTCCATAATATTGGGTGAATTAGCATGACCAACACATAATATTTCCCACACAGGCCACGATACGATACATATCTCGATACAGTGCGCTTTCGATTCAGTATGATATATTTCAGATCGATTCGATATAGTTCAATAAAAATAAAGGCTAAATCATGTCTGTCATACTAAAAGTCTTTGTTAAACCACTTTTTGTGCAAAGTTCATATGAAACGCAAACATTTTATTCATCAAATGTCAAATGTGTTACATAAAAAAGTTTCCTTCTGATGTAATAAGGAAGGAGGACATGTATTTGACAAAAATTGTTTTAGCTGCATCTAAAAGGGGAATTACGAAAAGTTGGTTACAACCAGATCCACCTGCACAACAAGACTGGATCAGGATTGTGGAAAGAATAACATATAATCTTAAACTGAAAGGGGACAAATATGATGAGCAATGGAAAAAATGGAATGTATTCATAAACGACACCAGTAAAACAACATAGTACATAAAAATGTCAATACCAAATGCATGTTTAAAAAAGAACATGTAACTCCAGACTGTTGTTACGTTGTTTTTGATTTTATATCATTTTTGTATGTTTTGAAATATTACTTAAAACCAATAAAAACAAAGTTATTAAAAAAAAAAGTTTCCTTCCTCTAAACAAGCACCAAAACTGTAGCTGTAACAAAATAATTGAGTAAAATATACCAAAAAATACTACTCTTGGTGATATATCGATACAGCAGCCCACGATATCGATACTGTATCATCACATTAAGTGATACGATATATCGATATTTCAATATTTTTGCACACCCCTAGTATCATCAGACTCAAGTCAACGCTCACCCTGGTAAATAGGGACGTTTGGTCACCTACCCAAGGACCCCAGTGGTGGGAAAAATGACACTTATTTAAAAGCGCATGAGCGCAAAGTGTGATATGTGACCGTCTAGTTAGAACGACTAACACTACAGCAGGTGAGATAAGTGTGCTGCTTCCTCTCCCGCGCTCGACACAAGTCGCACTGACCTGCAAAGTGTGCCCCGACATGCTAATGTATGCTAACGGGAGCTAACGACACTAACAGGAACCAGGATGTTAAAAGGAAGTGTGCCAGAGCGTCAAAGGAAAACACTGAAAGGTGCTTAAAAGGACACTTAGTAAAGTTGGGTGAGACTGAGAAAAATGTGGGAAAGTTGTATTTGTGGGAAACAGGAGGAAATGTTTGAGCATTAAAATAATGCTATAAAGATCAAGTGGATATTACTAAAAACCTGATGATTCTTGTTTACGAAAAGATTTTAGATTTAATCCAGATACAAACCCGGAGTAAATCTGGTTTAAACAACAGAAAATCCTGGTTTAAGCCCAATGTAGTCCAGAACTGGTTGAGTCTGGGTAAAGTCCAGGTTTAGTCCCAAATCTTCATGTGTACAAATGTAAACACACCATTAATCAAGACTTCAAACCAGAAACCAGAGCCAAAAGAAAATGAATACAGCTACTACCACTACTACTACTACTACTACTACTGCTACTACTACTACTACTACTACTACTACTACTACTACTACTACTACTACTACTACTACTACTACTACTACTACTACTACTACTACTACTACTACTACTACTACTACTACTACTACTACTACTACTACTACTACTACTACTACTACTATTACTACTTACTACTACTGCTACTACTATTACTATTATTACTACTACTGCTACTACTATTATTACTACTACTACTTATTACTACTACTATTACTACTACTACTATTACTACTACTACTACTACTATTACTACTACTACTACTACTTATTATTACTACTACTACTGCTACTACAACAATTACTACTACTACTACTACTACTGCTGCTGCTGCTGCTGCTACTACTATTATTACTACTGTTACTACTACTGTTACTACTATTGTTACTACTATTGTTACTACTACTGTTACTACTACTGTTACTACTACTGTTACTACTCCTGTTACTGTTACTGCTACCGCTACTGCTACTACTACTACTACTACTACTGTTACTGCTACTACTACTGTTACTGCTACTACTACTGTTACTGCTACTACTACTGTTACTGCTATTGCTACTACTATTGCTACTACTACTACTACTACTACCACTACTACTACTGCTACTACTACCACTACTACTACTGCTACTACTACCACTACTACTATTTCAAATGTTTTTGTTGTTGGCATAAACTATTCACTAGGCTGTTATTTAACAACGCAATTGTCAAAAAACAAAACATAAAAACCTATGACTAAACCAAACTTCAGTATATTCCCTGTTTTGTCTTAAATACATTGTAATGTTATCACGGGTTTCTACCACTAGATGTCAGTATGTCCAGAGTGTCATATCCAGCAAGCTGCAGTAATGGAAGATATAATGTACAACAAAAAACAGATACGAATCGATTCTAAAACTCGTATTGAAACTGGACACTCATTGAGGACTGAGGGATTACACAGATAGTACATGTCAGAATACAAACCAAAGAGTACTACCATTTACTGTTGAAAATCTCATTCTATTTTACTCCTTGGTATCGAAATAGAGTTTGAATTTTTAGTATCGTGACAGCACAAGTAACAAAACAAACTAACACCAATTTTGAAATAAAATCTACATACCTGGTTTCCCTGTTCATCCACAGAGTTGGTCCCTAAAAGACAAAGAAATGAGAAATATTACAATCTGATATGATCACTGAAGAATTTCTACATACGAATATAACATTGAGTTCGTTTTATAATATATTTAAAAATACTGTCGACTGAGACTTTACACACCTAATCAAAGCCAAATAGGATCAAAAAGTGATATGATAACCCCAGTTGATAATCCAGTGAATGATCATGAGTGTGAATTAATCCATCTTTATGTTTGAAAATCCACTTTGCGCCATTGAAAAAATTTAAAACTGTATAGTACAGTTTAGACCAGAGGTGCTCACACTTTTTCAGCATGCAAGCTACTTACAAAATGACCAAGTCAAAATTATCTACCTAATACAAAGCCAAGCAAACTGCACTGAAACACTCTGTGCCCCTTTTTTGGACCTTCACCCACAGTTTGAGAACCCCTTCTTTAAGAGAACTTCCTCTGGCACTTTACACAAAACTGTGAAAAAAGTGAAGGAAGATTTTTAAACCTGTTTTTTAAAGTTCCAAACTGGAGTTACATTCTTTTCTGGTTTTGCAGTGATATTTACCAGCCTCTGCACATTTACCAAACCAAACGCACATCGTGACAAACACAGATGCATTTGTGCACTTTTGTTAGACAAACTTCAGCCAAATGTGGCAGTAGGTCTGTTCTGTAGATCCGCTCTATGCTGTAGACCTGCTTTGTGCCAACACTGGAACACAAATTTAGACCGGTTTTTGCTTCACGTTTGGTCTTGCTCTTCTAATCAGCCGCACTGTGGGAGGGGCTTGTGTTGGCTGTACGCAGGAAGGAGCGAGAGCGTGAAAAGGCGAGGGGCGGCGTGCTGACGTGAGGCAGATGGACAGGTAGGATGTTTAGGAAGTTGAACCTGCCCTGTGATGCACGCTGGTACACGAGGGCACACGCTGTTGCAGACGAGCCGTGCATAGGGAGCGTGTGTGTTTGTGATGTGCCGTAGAGTCTCCGCGGGTTTCAAATGAGCGCACAGGCTGCACTGAGACGCCCCACACGCTCCTGCACCCGCTACAAGTTTATTGCCAAAAGCAGCGGCCGGAATGAAATATGATCACACTTGTTGAGTGTCAGACCTTGAGTGAGAGACAAGACCGAGTCCAAACGCGAGTCCGAGACGAGACACAGCGATCTACCCACACGACCTTGGCGATCGACTGGTAGATCGTGATCGACATATTGAGCACCCCTGGTTTAGTTAATCTGACACTGATATATCTTAAAGTTACAGCTGTGCCTTTGGTTGACTCTGACCAGCCCGTTTAAACTCATTTGGAATTACAAAATAAACATATTTTATCGTTTTGCTGACTAAAGCTGCATTGCTTTTATTTTTAATGACATTTTTTGTAAGTCAGCTTCACTTTTTCATTGCTTAGTCGTAACATAAACTCTTACCAGTCTGACCAGCTCATCAAAACAATGATATTTACTGCTTTTTATCAAAGAAATACAATTCATATTGTGCAGAACTGAGCAGAACATTTTGGCCCAGCCCTCCACAATATTTTCTGTTTCTAATGTGGCCCTATGGAAAAAATAATTGCCCACCCGCGCTATAGACTGCAAAGTAGTGGTCAAACGAGGCTAACGGGTAAACAGGTGCTTTTTTTTTTAACAGACAAAATAGTGTCATAAAAACAACAGGATCACATAGAGCGGGTTAATAAGAACATTTTAATAGGAGCCGGAAGTGCCCACATGTGAACTTTGTATTTGGAACACAGTGCCTAGAGCCTTAGCTGTGTCCATTTATATGTACAGTCTATGGTTTAAACTAGGGATGGGCATTCGATGAAATTTTCTTAATCGATCATCAGAAAAATTAACGATCGATTATCAATTAATCATTAACGTTTTTATATTAAAATGATCATCATTATTATTACTATACTGTATTCCACTGAGTCATGTCCTTTAATCTGACAGAAGTTGAACCGCATCAGTGCACAAGAGCTGTTTTTTTACTTCACTTAGTTTATGCAAATTAGCTACACTGGTTTTAAGTTTCGTTTCTGTGAGACTTGCACAACGCTGCATTAAACACATTCTAATCTCAAACGGGCTGATGTGGCTCTAGAGTGGTTATGGTTTATGTTAGGGATGGGCATTCGATGAAATTTTCTTAATCGATTGTCGAGAGAATTAACAATCGATTATCGATTAAATCATTAACGTTTTTATATTAAAATGATCATCATTATTATTACTATCTGCACTACTAATCTGCAGAAATAAATTCAACTTTACGACAAATAAACCGTAACCACTCTAGAGCCACATCAGCCCGTTTGACATTATCAATGTGTTTAATTCAGTTTTGCACAACACTCACAGAAACCAAACTTAAAACTGCATCGCTAATTTGCATAAACTAAGCGAAGATAAAAATACAGCTCTTGTGCGCTGATGCAGTTCAACTTCTGTCAGATTAAAAGACACGACTCAGTGGAATACAGGTTAGTGTGACCAGATTTGCATTTGTCAAAACCAGGACACCGTACGAGGGGTGGGAGGTGGGGGGACTCATCATCGACATTGTGCGACTCTCACCTGGCAAAACTTTTTCCCACTGGACACAGAAACATATGTGCTGCTTTGTGCACATGGCCTCACACTTGTCCCGAACGGAACGGAAAGCCTGGAATTTCTTGTACAAGTCATCGTTGCACATCGTTCGCATTTGTGCTTCGGTACATTGCGACTGACCCACTGTTTGTGTCTCGCTCCTTCTGAGTGCAGAGACACATGTACAGACCCCTGTTTGGTCACACTACACACAGCAACCTACATTCGGTTTGTCGATTAAAATGAATGTAATCGATGAAATTCTTAATCAATTATCGATTAATCGACTAATCATGCCCATCCCTAGTTTAAACATGAAAATATACACAGGCATAGTAGGGGCGGCTAAATCTTCAGCAAAGGTCAATATTTTGTTTTGGTCAATATGCTGCTTAAAAATACAGATAAAGCTTTTTATTACCATGGAGAGATATGATATTATTATTATTATTATTAACACAAAGAGATAACTGTATGAAGTGTACTACACATCTCTCTCAGAGGTTTGTGGTACAAATGGGCTGTGGGTGATTTTGTAGTCAATTTAACCAAAAAAATGTAAATCTAAATTGAGGTTAATCAGCCACCAGTTTATCTGGATTCTAAACAATCAGTATGGGCATCGGCAATGAAAAATTAAACATATTGGTCAATCTCTAATACCCCAATATAACCCCCCAAAAAAAGAAAAAAGAAAACTTCAGACGTAAAGCCATTCTCTGTAGCTATTGTGAAAAATATATTATTTTTGTTTATGCTGACAGAGAAAACAATGAACTTTCTGTCAGATTTGGTTTCATGTGAATATAAAGAAGTGGAGTGAGAGAGTGTCACGTCACCCTTAGCGTTCCAAAAGAAACCAATAGAGCGTTTTCACACCAGCTGAAAGTGCCCCGCTGTATCATTACTAAACTTTCGGTTAATGTTTTTTTGTGGCAAAATGTGTGTGGAAATGTGTGTCGTATTCTCCAGCAGACTCATAAATCTTCAACCAACAAGCTCCACAAAGGATAAACATTCTAACATGAAGAATTTATCCACAACTATCAAGGGAAGAAAGACCAAAACTTAAAGGAGAAGAATAAGTGAACTACTGAGCAAAACAAACATTATGGTCATGAATAAAACAGAAGTAACTTAAAACTGATTCTAGAATTCAAATTAAAAAATCAATTTCATGATGTCGAAACTGGCATAGATAGAGAGGTTTGTGCAGTTTGAATGTTAGATATGTAATCTGAGAACATCTCTAGATTTGTTGATGGGGCAGATTTATGAAGCTGATGGAAAATACGCCAGTTTCTACACACACATTTAGCCACAGAAAACCATTAACAGAAAGTTCCACAACACTTCAGCGGCGCACTTCCGGCTGTTGTGAAAAAGGTCTATTGAGGCTCGCAGTTATAGCGGCTAAAGTGGTGCCTAGTTCCATATTTGAAATCCGACCGCGAGTATCACAGCAACCAAAGAACCAATGAGGAGCAAGCTTTGTTGAACATAACAGCCTTTCACTGTTCACTTCTTATTTGGGACACAGCGGATGGTGGTCAATTTATATATACAGTCTATGGGATAGGCCTAGTAATTAGGGATGAGCATTCGATTAACCACATCAGCGCACAAGAGCTGTAGTTTTATCTTCGCTTAGTTTATCAAATTAGTGATGTGGTTTTAAGTTTGGTTTCTGTGAGAGTTGCGCAAAACTGAATTAAACACATTATAATGTAAAACGGATTGATGTGGCTCTAGAAACGAAACTTAAAAGCAGTGTAGTTAATTTGCATAAACTAAGTGAAGTAAAAAAACAGCTCTTGTGCACTGATGTGGTTCAATTTCTGTCAGATTAAAGGACACGACTCAGTGGAATACAGGTTAGTGTGACCATATTTGTGTTTGTCAAAACCAGGACACCGTACGGGGGGCGAGAGGTGGGACCTCATCATCCACATTGAGCGACTCTCACCTGGTAAAACTTTTTCCCACCAAACACCAAAAACATATGTGCTGCTTTGTACACTGTGCACATGGACTCACTTGTCCAAAACGGAAAGCGTGGAATTTCTTGCACAAGTCATCGTTAAATATGCACTTGTGCTTCGGCATATTGCAGACTGACCGACTGTTTGTGTCTCGCTCCTTCTGAGTACAGAGAGACACATGTACAGACCGGTTTGGTCACGCTACACACAGCAACCTACATTCGGTTTGTCGATTAAGATGAATATAATCGATGAAATTCTTAATGATCAATTATCGATTAATTGACTAATCATGCCCATCCCTACTAGTAATAAATACAAATATTAACTATTAAGTCAACAACTCTGCAGTCTGCCAGCAGGTTCTACGATAGACCTGTCCTCCAGCTCAGTTTAAACTCTGGGGATTACAGCCTGTGGTGATGTTCCATGAACCTGGCCTGTTGTAGTGAGATGTGCCACTGACCAAAGACGTAGACCATTCCGACGGCTCCTCCGATGCCCATGAGCCCGGCCAAGCGCAGAACCATCTTTTTGGCGTACGCCGTGTTCTCCTTCTGCTTCTTCTCGTCCTTCTTCTCACGCTCCTGCTCACCATCTCCCTCTGGTGGCGGCTGGCCCTAGACAAAGCACAAAAAAAACAAAACTAGAACATAATGGCTACGTTTACATGATGTTTTTTAAATTCTGAATGAACAGTTTTGAATTAAATAGTTATTTCCATGTAAACTCCTTTTAGTTTGGTCTGACAAACTGAGTGTGAGGCTGCTCTACCTCAGCCCACTCCCACATCCCGCTCACAAATCCAAAGAGACGTGGATGAAAGTCCAAAGTGAGGACTAGTGGAGTCAGATTGTCCGGATTGCGTCAGAAGGGCGACACGAGCATGAGCTGAATGACTAGGGATGGGCATTCGATTAAATTTTCTTAATCGCTCGTCGGGAGAATTAACAATTGATTATCAATTAATCATTAACGTTTTTATATTAAAATTTATCAGCATTATTATTACTATCTGCACTACTAATCTGCATAAATAAAATCAACTTGATGACATATAAACTATAACCACTCTAGAGCCACATCAGCCCATTTGACATTATAATATGTTTAATGCAGTTTTGCACAACTCTCACAGAAACGAAACTTAAAACCGCATCGCTAATTTGCATAAGGGCCCGGTCAAGCAGAAGTAAACAACAAGGCCAAAAATTCAAGTAAATGCATCTGATATAAAAATGTATTGAACAGATACATATGTACTCTAGTTTATGAAACTGTTGACCTTTTTCTGGTACCATTTTTGGTTCTAAAGTTCCATATGTTTTAAACAGACCATGTATGAAACATGGAACAAAAATTATTTTCCAAATTTCAAAAATCTGCAAATCATGTCAATAAATGGATGTATTTCATCATATCTTGTGTTATTCCATCTTTGAACTGTTGATGAAGGTACATGATTTTTCAAAAAATAAATGTATTTAAAATGATAAAAATTTGCTTGGAAGGACTGACGTATTTTATAGAAATAGTTTCCTTTCATGTTGAAGTAATATTAAAGTATTCAGAAGAAAAAAGTGACAAATGATGTAAAATCCTGCACCTTCTACTTGTTTGCACAGTTTTCCCTCCGTTACTTTTCCCTCCGTTACCATGACCTTTCTTAATAAAAAATCTCATCACTCAAAAAGTCTGAGGTTTTTCAACCTAATCTTGTACCATATGGTAGAAAACTATATGAAGCAAATATTCAAACCAGTTTGTTAAGGATATGGAAGTGAGAACCAAGAGTTATCACTGTTTGGATTTATTGCCCAAAAAGTGCTGCATATTTCATTCCCTCTGTTACCGACATGAGTTTTTTAATTTTTTGTCAACAACTTGAAAGAATATCACAGGTTTAACTTGACCCTGTTGGAGTGTAACTCTTTCCTACATTCTGATACTTTACTTATTTCAATAGTCCCTCTAGTTTCTGAATAAGAGACATTTGAATGTCAAAAATCTGGCCGTTTCCCTCCGTTACCACTTGACCGGACCCATAACCCAAGCGAAGGAAAAAAAAAACAGCTCTTGTGCACTGATGCGGCACGACTCAGTGGAATACAGGTTAGTGTGACCATATTTGCGTTTGTCAAAACCAGGGTTGATTTTTGATGGGGTTGGAGGCTTAAGAGCGTGTCTAATAGCCTGGAAAATACGGTATGTGTTTATATGGTCTTTTTAAAGCAGAATGGATTTGTATTTAGAATTAAATTATTTTTATTTGGAGTTTAAGCTCTCATGTAAATGTGGCAAACGACTGACTGATTGACGGAAGAAGAATATACGGTTCACACTTCACGGATGTATGCCACGACAATGACATCATGTAATTAGGCCTGTCGACATGTCCTACCGATCAGCTGGTCGACTAAAAAGAAAGCGTGGCAATCCTCTCAAAACTATAACATATCTGTGTCTCTGACTCAGACTGCACTCACAAGACTACACCTACAGGGGGAGCTCATGTAAAAACTATTTACGCAGAAAACAAAAAGTACTAGCAAACAGTCTATTTATATAAAGACAGTTTACATTTGTGAATCATGAGTTTAATCTGCCTTTTAACACACAAATACTCAAAAATATCAGCACTTCGCTAACTTCTCCTTTCTGCTGTTGCCCCATACAAATCCTAATAACGTAAATAAAATGAGTAGTCGACTAGTACAAGAAACAGAGAAGAATATAAAAGAAATCACTATTTTTCATTCTATCCTATTGTAAAGAAAGAATGTATTTTGTTATCGTTATTTGGTATCAGAATCGGTATTGAGTATTGAGTCTATTCTTTAGTATCGAAATTGAGTGAACTGTTAGTATTGTGAAAGCTCAGCACAGCACCTTGGCTTTAGACCTTCAAACCAAGGCCCTGGGCAAAGACTTCCACAGGGTCGTATCCTGCTGAAACTACAGAAACACCACACTGTGATTATTCCAGTCTCTCAAACATGTCACAGTTTTAACAATATATCAGTTGTTTCAACCAGGACAAACAAATGAATCAAATGAACAGATTTGTTTACGTAGCTAGGTGCAAACATGAGTTATCTCAAATATACAACGAGCTAGTGTTGTCATGATACTAACACTTCAGTGAAGGCTTTTTATAGCACAGAATGTCATTTTCAATGTAAAATAATTGCATTTTTTTAGCACACAGTTACCATCTTATATTCTTGTTGAGATATTAAAATGTCTAATTTGATTTTGATACTAAGGGATATTGTCTCTCTGTATGATATTATCTCGATATGCATTCGATATTTGTTGCGATATTTTGGAGAGGCCGATATAATTGCAGAAGGACATTTTTTTTTTCTGACAAGAGTTTGGTGTGAATTATTACCATCATAATCCAAGAATTTAAGTAAAAACATATTTCTTCATGTTGTCTGTGCTGAAATTAAACATGGGACATGTAGTCCCTGATGTTTATTAGGTATTGCTACTATAAAAAATGCATTTAAACAAAGGAAGTTGTAATTCGATATATTGTGACGCCACACGGTATTATTGTGAGACTTTTGACAATACAATATCATGATATTTTGGTTATTACGGCATTCCTAGTCTATCCCAATTCTGATACCACAAAGAAAAGAAAAAAAAATACAATAGAATGTGACTGAATGTCATAGAATATGTATGTTATGAAATTGTTTATTCATTTTGATTTAAAGGCCCTATCTAATTTGTACTCTTGTGCTTAAAGCCATAACACTCTTACCTCCTCAAAGAGTCTAGGTTGTGTTGTTTCATTCACACATGTTTGAGTAACTCTGACTAAATTTGTTAGTCTGTCTACATCACCAAAGCTCAAAACACTCTGTTCCACCTTGTGATGTCATGCATGCGATAGTTTTCAAGTCAACAGCTACCTTAATTGTTAGTTGAGTAGATTGGAGAACTTCAGCTTTTGCCAAATGATTCTAATGAAGGTGTATGGAAGTTTAAAAACACAGTGGAGTACTTCCTGTATTACCACATGACATCACAATGTGGAACAGAGTGTTTTCTGTTTGAGAGAAGAACTCATCCTAAATGTGCAGGGTTTGTGTGTTAAACATGTGTGAATGAAACAAAACACAACTCCAGGTCTGTTTGTGATGAGAAACTACATTATAACAAAGATCAGAAAACAGCACAATATGGGTAAAGATTTTAGCTCAGTCAGACTAATGTGGTGACCCAATGATATCAACAAAATACCAAGCATTATCACAAATATGTCATAGCTCTCATACCATATCAAGTGTGTTGCACAAAAGCACAGAGGCCAGAAGGTACTGAATGTTCTCCTTAGTCTACTGAACACTGAGCTAAAGTTACAATAACCTACAAACCTACTAAGCACTCAACGGGGCATTTCACACGACAACATGTCCCAAGTGAGTGGACACACGCGTGGAAAACAAATGTCCAAAACTCGAGGTCATTTTCAAGTCATTACGAACTACAAGCTCTGCTCAGTCACGTGGGCCTGTTTGACCAATAGAATCGCACGCTGGAGGACGTACGTCAGGGCAATAGGAACTGTCAAAAAAGAGCGTTTTTAATTATAGATCAGTGATTATCTCCAGAAGCAGCTCTCTGGAAGGTTCTGAAGACGAGCAGGCTGTGAAATGGACATAAACATTGGTTAGCAGCGTAGGTGAAGTATGTGTTAAGCCTTCAGAGCTGTTTGCTACGTGACTGAGGGTGCTATAGTACACTCCCTTTGACACATAACACACAGAAAAACCCGTATATCCATCTCCACACGTGGACCGGATCTGACCCTCTTCCTGGTCCCACACTACGGGCTAAACGCGCTGAGCCTTCCCCTAAAAGCAGAGGCATGTCCCGGGTAGAAGCGCTCGTACCTGGCTCTGCTGCTGGAGTCTCTCCTGGAGGATCGCCTGGGCCAGCCCGCCCGTAGCGCTGTCTCCTCCCGACGCCGGCTTCTCCGTGGACAGTGTGCGGATACCGTCCACCATGGCCGGGCACAGGACGCCCGCTGCCCCGCTCCTGAGCCGCAGAAAGCCGCGGCTCGCTCGCACACACATGGGGACGACACACGAAGCCGACATGTTGGATGCTGGAGCGCACTGCCGGTGAGTGACGCAACTGCAAAGGACAAATGCGCGTCATTGGTCTGCGCGCGGTTGAGTGACAGGGATGACGGCCAATTAGAATAACGATAAGCCACATTGAGCAGAGAATAAGCGGGGCTTGAGCTGTTTTGCCCAATCAGAATCAAAAGTGCCGCTGACCTTCGAACAACCCACACAGAGCGCCATGTTTGTTTGGGGCAGTGTGGGCAGAGTGGGCAGGAGTGTGTGAGGCTCACGGGCGGAGCTCTCCTCAACTGAACCCGGGTCTGCGGCTGCACGGCGCATCACTCTGGACATACATTAGTCTCAATGATTACAGATTACATACCTCAAAATGTAGTTTGTAACGTAATCCTTTAAATTACTTAAAGTGAGTAACGTAATCTGAATACTTTGGATTACTTGATTTTCAGTACAGAAGCAAAGACGAGGACATCGTAACATAAGATGTTTTATCTGCTAAAAGAAAATAAAAAGTCCAGTCTTTACTTAACCAAATAAAAAAATATTATTGATAGAAGATGAGGAGACACGTCCACACAGCATGATTTAGTCCTGTTAAATCCTGGTTTATACCTGGTTTTATCCCCAGTTTAGATCTGGTTTAGTTCTGGTTTAGACCTGGTTAAGATCTAGTTCTAGATCCGGCAATGAGTGGAATTACCCCCCCCCCCCCAAAAAAAAATTATATATATATATATATATATATATATATATATATATAATATATATATATATAAATTAAAAAAGGGATATAACCCAAAATGTGAAAACAGGAAAATACCGCCGTGTAATCCATTTATTTCAGCAAAGTAACAGTAATACAATTACCACCACTGAAACAGTAACTGTAACTGAATACAGTTACTCATCATTTGTACTCTGATTACATAACTCTGGTACATGTAATCTGTTACTCCCCCACACTGATTAGTCTTTATTATTTATTATTATTAACAGTGCTGGGGAGTACTACTACTACTACTGACCTAACTACTACTACTACTGCTATGGACCTAACTACTACTACTACTACTACTACTACTACGGTCCTAACTACCTCTAGTACTATGGACCTAACTACTACGGACCTAACTGCTACTACTACTACAACTACTATGACTACGACTACTACTACTTCTACTACTGCTACAGTACTACAATGGACCTAAGTACTACTACTGTGGGCCTAACTACTATGGATCTAACTATTACTGGTACTATGGACTACTACTTGACACTAAAACAGAAAAATGAAATAACAAACTGTTTCCCATTTTATTTGTTTTTTGTTCTTTATTGAATTTCAAAAGAACAAATGGTACACAGACCAGCGCCTCTCCACAGATCTGACGTGTAACTTAGTGGTGTTACTTTTTCTTTGTCTCTAGGGAGATAGCTACATTTAATGCAACACTGTGGAGGATTCTAGACAAAACAACAACATATCAAAACTAACAGAGACTTTTCAGATTGTCTCCTTTAATTTCACTGTTGGTGGATTCTTGTGTTGTTGTGGCTGCTTCATTTCTTTGCTGAGCAGCCTTCATCACTGAGAAAATCTGTTGCTTTAGTTAAACTTTTACACTTGGCTTCATGGGCAGGGTTCTTGCATTGATCTTCTGTCGGCCACAGCTCCACCCAAGTGTTATCACCCAGAACATAAGTGATTCTGCAACAAAAACAACACCAACAAAGATTAGATTTCAAACTCCAGTTCAATACTAAGGATTAGACTCGATGCACAATACTGACTGTGATACTAAAAACAAGACAACAGAACGTGATTTTCAACTTTCTTCAGATCATTCTAAACTATGGAAAGGTTCATTTCTGTCCTCTGAATGTGACTTTTTTAGTATTTATACCTGCTCATATGAGTATCTAGTTTTTGTATCGATTATCCAATCCAATCCACTTTATTTCTATAGCACATTTCACAAACAAACTGTTTCCAAAGTGCTGCACAAGTACATAAAAATAACCACAATAAGATGATAAAATAAACTACTAAAATAATACTAGTCTTAAAATAATAAAACCAGTAAAATAAAATAAAATAAAACCAGTAAAATAAAAATAAAAACAAAATCATAGAATAGAAATAAATAAACCAGTAAATAAATTAAATCAGTAAAACCAATAAAAACATAAAAATAAATAAAAGACACAGAGGAGCACACAACTCACGCGGTGTTAAAAGCCAGAGAATAAAAGTGGGTCTTCAGATGAGATTAGTATCTAATTTTCTTATAACCATCTGACGACCATACCACTGTGCCTCTAAGCAACGCATTGTGGAATTACTCAATTATCAAACTTGATTTCAAGACTGAGGAATAGACTTGATATTCACTTCAAACTAAGCAATGCATTGTGGAATTGCTAAAATTTCAAACTCAATTTCGAGACTAAGGAATAGACTTATGAAACAGATGTAATGTATCACCCTTATGTAACAGATAATACTCCCTACAACTGAACAAAAACTGAACTCACCCTTATTTAACAGATAATATAAAGTCTATTTCTGTCCTGGGAAGTGACTTTTTTAGTATTGATATTGGCTCAAATCTACTTTTGGATCAGTATCTGATTGTCGATACTTTTGAGTGTGTTTCTGCAGTTACTTGTTGGTGGCGGGGTCTCTGGACCACGTGTCCCTCTCTGGGCCAATGATCAGGTACTGGGAGCCCTTCTGGAGGACACAAGTGTCTCTGCAGCCCGAGTGAGAGAAGAACAGTCTCCTGTCAGACTCCACCACTCCACTCTCCACACCTGCACACACAAAACACACAGTATGGCTTTAAAGCTGCATTGTGTAACTTTTCTGGTGGAGGGTCTGTCAAATGCTTTTCTCCACGCAGATGTTTCTCCATGCAGATATTTCTTCACGCAAAAGCTTTGTCTGGAATGTTTCACTGTATGGCATTAAACCTTTCTATCTTCATGGAGACCAAACCAGACCAAGTTACAGGTCAGATCTGTGGAGAGGCGACCCTGCTCACAGTCAGAATACCTGTTTTTCTAGGTATTTTTGAAATATAAAACCACCTGTAATTGAATAAATGTAAGGTAGAGCTGTTTAAAGTCATAGTGTGGAACATTATAAACAGAGATATGAGATATCCATAGAAACAAGCAGGTGACGGACCCTCCACCAGAGAAGTTACACAGTACACCTTTAAATAATAATAATAATAATAATAATAATAATAATAATAATAATGATAATAATAATAATAATAATAATATAATAATGATAATAATAATAATAATAATAATAATAATAATAATAATAATGATAATAAAAATACATCAAGCTTATACACTCCTGATAAAAATTTTAAGAGTTCTAAATAGTGCTTCAAAAATTCAAAAGGAAGAAATGGGAGTGAGACAAGAAAAACATTTTGAGCAAGCAATTGCTTAAGCAATTTATTGTAAACAACCATTAAACTGAAATAGATTGTTCATCAGCTGAGTGTTTTTGAAGTCCATACACCTTCACTAGAATAATTTGGATGCCCTGGAATAGCCAATCTCTACTGCACTAAAGGTGCACTAAAGGAGCTGTTCATTTGAAAACTACCGCTTCGTGACATCACAAGGTGAAGCGGAGCATTTTGAACTTTGGAGATTTAGACAGACTCCAAATAAAGAATTACTAAAACATGTGTGAATGAAACAAAACCAACTCCAAGTCTGTTACCGAGGAGGTAACAACATTAGAACATGGCTTACAGCTCATAAGAGTCAATTCCATGTAATATAGGAGCTTCAATTGGCCAATGATCTTAGTTGACCAAATTTTGTATTACTTGACTAATCATATTTGGTTTGAACTTCATCTGCTACGTTGAAATGGACATGTAGGTGAAGACAATGATCCTCCATGCACCATTGTCAAATTCTTTATAGCAGCAGCGTTTTCAATGCAGTTTAAAACAAAACTCATTTGAGTTTTGAAGTGTTACTTGATGTTGGGTCAAATCTAAAATCCCAGGTATGACTCATCACTGGCCCTAACACACAGACTTATTCATGTGTTTGCACTCACCCATCTTGATGACTTTGGTGATCTCCATTTCATATATGTTGTTGTATTCTCTGGAGATGTTGAGCACCTTCACCTTAAAAACTGAAGCACAAAATGTCCACAGAATGTTTCAAAATGTTTCAATATTTTTCTATTATAAGTGGACCCACCGTGGTGTAGTGTTTCACAGGCAAAAGTCTCTCGTTCCTTGTCCTGTATTGTGCCCTCCTTAACTTGACAACAATCATCTGAAACAGAAACCAAAATGTTTTATTACACAAGTGAAAAGTTTGGATACTTTTTAATCTACAGTATGTTTTTTTATTCTTTATTTCCATACATTCTCACCGAAGGAATCAAAACTATGAATGAGCACACGGAATGTAGCAAACCACAAATGAACTCAAAATAACTAAAACTTGTTTCAGATTTTTTTTTCCTGCTTTTTGACATTTCTTGACCCTGATACAGCACAGCTGTGAAGTGAAAACCATTTTAGGAGACTTCATCAAGTTGTTTATAGAGAGAAGGCCAAGAGTTTGCAGCTCTGTCAACAAAGATAAGGATCTAAAATATATTTAAAAAATGTCTTTACTTACTTGTAAGGCAAATCTTTCGATTAGAAGTTCATCTGTCTGCAGTACTGGTGTTATCCACTGTGTCGCCACTAGAGGTCGACATTGTCATTAAAACTGGAGACATTTGTCACAGTGAGGGACATGAGGACACTGGACAAACTGCTCTCCCTCCTGCTCCCCCACTGCACCAGACTTTAGAGAGACAGATAATACTCCCTACAACTGTACAACAGCTCACACTATGTTTCTGAGATTTTTTATTACTTATTTTTCAGTTTTATTTTGCCTGTACATGTACATTTTTATATATGCCTTATTTATATATATGCTTTATTTGATACCACTCTCTTGCTCTTTTTTGCTACTTATTTAGAATTTATTGTTACCATTTATATTTTACACTTCGTATATATGGAAACTGAAATCTATTCATTCCGATTCTGTATTGTATTTTCCAGACACCTGCCACTGAGGACTCCTTTTGACAGTTTTCAAGTGTCTGTCTCAGTGATGGAGACTATCATTTTGGACTGCCTCATAGAAGAGTTTAAAAGTTTATCTGTCTGTCTGTCCCCACAGTTTCAAGGGGATGAGATCACACCTGCAGGGATGGGCCTTCCTCCTGCAGGTGTCAGGTTCTCATCATCTCGATGAGTGAGTCATCCTGATTCTACTTTACACATGACACATGGCACTGTTCACTGAGTAAAAGGACTGATGCAGGACATAAAGTATTGTTAAAGATTACACTTGAGCACAGTTCTTCATACAGAAGTTCTTTGCACTGTAGGAAAAATAAAAAGGTGCTGTTTCTATCTGGTACAAGCATTTACTGACCATGTACATACACATTTACCTTCCACAGCACTTCAAGTCATATTTGGCTAAGCTGGAGAGGCAGAATGCCACAACAACAGAGAAATAATTAACAAACTTTAAATCTAATTTAACAGGTAAATTGTCATGTGTTTCATCATGCCTTTGTGTATCTTTATTATCCTTTATATGTTTATAAAGTGGTATTTTTTTTATTAATGGACAGTTGCATTTCTATATTTATTTATCAAAATAAATTGATTACTTGAGTAATTTCACATTGTTGCAATTATTGATGCATTCAGCTTTTGATTTTCTTATTATGTTAATATGTAATTAGGTAAACCGACTTGCATATTTCAGTATTATCATTAATGATGATAAAAATGCTAAGCAGTTGTCAAGAATAAATACATGATCATATTTATTTTGATATAATGGGCCTATATATTGTATTGTCTTGTATAGTTCAAAATGTTCAACTCTGATGAATTCCCCACTTCATTTACGTACCTTATACATGTTTTGCAACTAAAAATGCTAATTTTAAGGCAAACTAGGTACATTTGCAGTATTTCAAGTACTACAGGACATCACACAGGACTACCCTGATTAAAACTGGTTACAAATACCTGGCTGCAGGGAGGAGTTATGAAGTATGGACAGACCAATCAAACTGTCTCATATGTCCATTTTTACCAAATACTTTTTACTATTGAGTCATTTCTTGGACCACTACTTTGAACTTCTATTTCACTCATATTATTTTGAAGTAACATTTTTGGCCAATCTACCCACCTTTGGCTATTTCTTTAACGGTGGTTTTCAGATTCTAGAATGTGATGATGTCATACTCCCACATGGGGGCAGGAGACAGATTTCCTTATCACATTGTACTTTTCCATGAAATATCCAAAAGGTAAATTCACAAATGTCAAACCTGGTATTTTCAATTATTGACTAAACCCAAGAATTCACTGTATTACAATATGTTTTTGCAGTTTAACAATATTCATTTCAGCTTCCCTATCTTTATTCCTTAATATTGTCAAATCCACCAATTGCAGCTCCTGACATTTTATCCTCCATATTGTACATTCTGATCATTCTTGCGTGGCTGATTCTGCTTTAGAGTTTTTGTGTCAGTGGCATAATCTGGTCCGTGACCTGAGACTGACCTTGTGCGCACACACAGTTGTTGTTGGTGCAGATGGTGGTGAGGTCAATCTGGTCCTGGGGAAGAGAGTAGAGCTGTGTGCAGCGCTGACCTGACCACACAAAACAAACAAACACAACAGAAACAAAGAGAAAATGGGTTTCAGAATGAGAGAAAATGAGGACCGTTGCCATAGAGATGAACAATTTGAAGGTTCACCATGGAGATGTTCTGCTTTGCCTGAAATGTTCCATGGTGTGACATTAAACACGTCCATCTAGCATTTATTTATTACAGTTGTTTCTATTGCTCAAAAACACATTCATTCCTCCTGTCAATTAGGGATGCAACGATATTCGATATAATATCAAATTGTTCGATACTGGTGTCACCATTCCATACATGTGTTCCTTCGATATGCACGTGTCCCTCCATGCACACTGTGTTGCCATTTATTTTGGTCCAAAAGAGAAACAGTTCTCTTGGCGTCCTTCTCAGATGCAGCAGAAAACAGCTGGGACTTACAGCTGAAATATTCTAACAGAGGAGGGTTTTATCTTTCACTCACTTTTTATTTTACATTAATAGACGCAGGAATGACAAAGACATTCACTTTTAAATACTTTAGAATCACCTTTTTGAGCTGATTTTTCACTCACGTGACTGTTTTTGGGATCAGGCCGACTTTTGTCTTAATCGTGTGTCCTTCTTTGTGTAGTAAATATGGGCTAACGAGAACCGATTAATACCTCACGACCAGCTCCCGATCAGCATTCTTAGGTCGCATGAATATCAAACCTTTTTGAAATCCAGTCGCCTCTTTTGAGGGTTTCACAAGTAGTTCCACAAGCTGTGAACTTTTAAACCCTATGATTTGGTCGTACAGTTTGAGCTGGAGCTGAGGGAAATGATCAGAAATATCGCACAGTGTACAGTACGTCCAGCATTAATCGAATGCACGTATGCACAGATGACCCAACTCGCAATATGAGCAATCTATTTCTCAAACTCTTATCTTTTTAGTCAGAAAACAGTGTGTTGAGACTTTTCTATGTTTGAGTGTCCAGAAAGAGGATGAGAGAGCTCTGTGTGACACAGACTGTAGGGGGCAGTGTGGGGGGAGTTACTGTCTGTCTCTACTGGAGCACAGAGCAGCACTGACACAGGCCTGAGGCGTGTGAACACTGTGAGACTCAGAAGGAAAAGAAATCATCAAATCATCATCAAAAAAGGAAAAGTCTGATAGTGTAAATCCCCTACTGCTCTATACTAACAGACTGGTTCTATGATGAAATATAAAACAGCCAGAGAAAGCTCTGTTCTTATCTTTACTGAATTAAAATGCTGTAAATCACTGAACCAAATAAGCCACTTCACACATAAACTATACATTTACAGTAATAATACTGTAATGTATTGTATGTGTTGTATGTAATGTTTCATTAACATCATAGTGTTATTATATTACACCTGTTAGCAGAAAAAATGACATGAGATTTTTTTTTGCATCTTAAAATGTTTCCAAATCGAATCGATATCGTGACCTGTGTTTTGAGATATGTATCACATTGTGGGAAAACCGTATTGTTGCATCCCTACTGTGAACAAAGGCGACTCTCCACAGATCTGAATAGTAATGTGTTGTAATGTCTTGTGATAAATAGGTTTAATTTCTACTGTGGAACATTCTATGCAAAGAAATACCATTTCCACGGAGACAAGCAGAAATATTGCACAGTGTACCTTTAAAACAAAAAATGATATCGTTTGAATAAGAAAGTCCTCAAAAAGTGATTGATTGATTGTATTTATATAGCGCCTTTCAAGATACTCAAAGCACTTTACAGTTCATTATTCAGTCACTCTGACTGACAGAAGCGCGGCTGCCAGTCTGCGCCATCAGTCCCTCCGACCACCACCATCACTCACGCTCACACCACTTTCATACTAGGCAATGTGGGTGAAGTGTCTTGCCTAAGGACACAACGACAGTTTTTTGCCACTGGCGCCCCACTGTGGCCAATTGATACTTCGCAGTGACATAACACTGGGCGTACTGCATGTATGTCTATGGTGGAATGTTTAGCGGTTACCTTGGTGATACAATGCACATATTCGCAAACACAGCCTGATAAGTTTTTAGTTTTTAGACAGAAAAAATACTAAATAGATTCAAACAACACATTTTCAGGAGCCTGTGAATTTTTTAGGGGTTTGATTTTCACCCAGCTCGTCATTAGAGGTGTCACCACCATCAAAATCAAATACATTTACACAATGATCACACAGAAACAATATTAAGGATGTAAAATGCATTAAGAAGGTTTTATATTCCGATACAATACCAAATACCAAATATTTCACTTTTGCTTTAAAGGCCCATGTTACACTATTTCCTAATCTCTGTTCAAAAGTAGTTTCCTCATCACAAACAGACCTGGAGTTGTGTTTTGTTTCATTCACACATGTTTAACACACAAACCTGCTTATTTAGGCTGAGATCGTCTCTCAAGCTGAAAACACTCCACCCTGTGATGTCATGTGGTAATACATTAAGTGCTCTACTGCGTTTTTAAACTCCATACACCTTCACTAGAATCATTTAGATGATTTCAGCCCCGGAATTAGAAATCTCTAGTGAACTTAAGGTAAAAGAAGTATCATGACATCACAGGGTGGAACAGAGCATTTGGAGCTTTGAAGATGTGGCGAGACAAATAAACCAGACTCACTCAAATGTGTATGAATGAAACAAAACACAACTCCAGGTCTGTTTTTGATGAGGTAACAGCGTTATAATATGGCTATAAACTCACAAGAATCTTTTTATTTTTTGTGAGTAACACTTGAAGCTAGTATCCTCACCTTTCTCTTTGTAAAACTCGTAGACTGTGACAGACGAGGGCTGGAGGAGGCCAACATTAAACTGCTGCAAAAGCCTGAAGGTCACAGTCTGTGGCCATGTGTTTGAAACCTGCAAAACAAAACAGAGCTGCAACTAAGATTTCACACAGGCTTATTACAAATGCAGTTTGAATAGACAAATCACAACATCAACAACATCCCCTTCCAAGAATGTAGCAAGAAATAACTGTCTTCTCTCTCTCTCTTTTGCTCAAAGAAGCTTTTTGTTGCATTATTCACTCTACACTCGATAGTAGTAACTTTCCACAGCTGCCCTGGGGCAGACTGATGGAGGAGAGGCTGCCAATCTGCATCATCAGCTCCTCGGAACACAGGTTTGTTATTAAAACTGAGTGAAGTGTCTTGCCTAAGGACACCACTGTAGTTTTCCACTTGCCACTATTACTCAAGTATTATTGCCAGTGTTCTAGCAGGTCCAGCCCTGCTCAGCTCCAGAGATCTGACACCATCACCAACTGACAATGAGGATTTAAACATTAGGCTCTAGCAATATTTGTCAGTATTTCTTAGTAATAGTACTATAGTACTATTCCTCTAGAGGGTGCTAGAATACTCTTCTCCTGTATTTACTGTTTTTTACCTGGTACATGTGGATGATCATCGAGTTTCTGTCACTCAGTTTAGTGTCAAAGTAGAAGTGGTCAATGAATTTCTCAACAGTATTTAGCAGCTGCACCGATCAAAGAAGGAAAGAAAAGAATGTTTATAAATCACATTATGTATAACAGTAAACTCATAAGAACTTAGCATCATTAAATCTGAAATGATAATGGCTGCCATTAGCATTAGCACAAAGTACTATCATTTCCCCCACAAATAAAACATCCTGTAATAATAATAATAATAATAATAATAATAATAATAATAATAATAACGTTGGATAATTATAATGTCTCACATTTTCCAGATCTCTGGTTTCAGCAGTAAAGCCGGTGGGGAGACTTATGTCCAAAACCACAGAAACTGCAGGGACTGGTCCTAGGGCCCTAAAGAAAAAGAAACCTCATTCATGTTATAGGATACACTTTAATCTAGAGATAAACTTCTACTGACTTTAAATTACTGTAAAAACATCACAAAATTGTTCAATTACTGTTGGAGGACTCTTACTTGACGGAGATGCTGAGTTCAAAGATGTTGATGATCCCTGGTATAGTTTCAGGCCTCTCTGTTTAACAGTGGAAAAACGTGTCTTTTAAAGGAACTGTATGGAACATGTAACTGTATATATAACTGTATGTATCTAGCTGTTTTAAAAAGCTGCTCCAACTGAACCTGGGTTTCCTGTGTCTAACCTGCAGATAGAGACACATACAAGTTTGTGTCATTCTCAGTTTATGTTCAGGCCTCATGTGAAAGATCAGAACCTCCAGAATTCCCTCCCTGAGCTGCAGAGGCTGCACTAGCACTGACTCATGATTAGTTTAAACCCACTGGATTTCACCATCGAGACGGGCAACCCAAATGAGAGTCTGAGGCTCAGTCTGCTCTCTGATTGGATAATTGTCTTCAGAACAAAAATGATAACATAAATAACTTGGCCACCATGTTTTTGTAATCAAAAATAAATAAGGAGTTGTTATCGATAAAAGTTATATTCAACACTTATATGGGGACACAGTTATAATGCATATGGTTCCTTTAAGTTTAGAAGTCATTTAAAGGTTGTATGAAGGATTTTCCAAGGAAGGAGAAATACAGAAATGTTGAGTATGCACCTCCCTCCTCCACAGCTCTCTAAGTAGAAACACCTCGTCCTGCCTCCTCCTTATGTTAGAAATCATGTTTGTTTACAGCTGCTGCACGTTCAGAATTACTGAACAAATTGCTGTTGAATTTACTTGACCAGAAGTAATTTAGAGACCAGCGCGTCAGGCTTTAGACCTTTCTTCTGCTTCAGTGCATGCCATCAAAAAATCACCTTACTTTGGCTTCGCTCCTTTTCCCCTTCTCTTCTTCTTTCAGCGATCTCAAAAACACACTTTCTTTTGCGGTGAACTGGTCGTGGATTCTCGTCTGCCATCGCAATAAACTTTGTGCCAACTGTGAGGAAGCTACAGTTGGAAAAAGCTGCTAAGAATCACTGTGTTGATTGAGTAAACGGCGTCTTGAGTATGTGGAATGTGTGAGAGGCAAACGTAAACCATGTCATCCCAGCGCGCCAGCGAGTCAGTCACACTCGAAATGTTGGGAGTTTGATTGGCGTAGATAATAAGAGGTAGATAATGAGGTAGCCTCGTTATTTATTGGCTTATGTTTGTCTGACTTCACCACTTCTACAGTTGATGGATGAATTTTTAATTTTTAATTTTTTTTGGTCATCATAATTACAAGGCTGCTGCATCTCTGTAAGACTAATTTGAACTTTCATTGACAATTTAAAGCTAAAAAATCCTCCATACGACCTTTAAAATTTTACAATTTTTTTCTTTAAAAAGTACAGATACCGGAGCAAAAGGAACAGAAGATTACTCAAGTAAAAGTATCACATGAAAAAATCGACTCAAGTAAACCTATTGAAGTACTTGTTTAAAAATACATTTTAAGATTAAAAGTTTTTTGCTGAGATTTTTAGAACAATTAAAGCATCAAATGTAGTGGTTTTGATAAAGAATTTAGCTGATTTTAAGTGAATCAATTGATTTTTAAATTTTTCTAGCTGTATTTGTGTATTTGGTTTGCTCACATTTGGGATGTTAACTTTTAAATTAAATCTGCTAAAAAAATAAATAAATAAATAAAAAAAAAGCTGTGAAACCATTAAGAAAATTTACTTTTTACTTTTCAGTCCAGATCTAAAATATAGTGGAGTAGAAAGTACACATCCATGGTCTCAAATGTAGTGAATAAAAGTAAAAACTATCCACTGTAAAACATAGTTAAGTACAGTTACCTAAAAATTGCATGTTTACTTTTGTACTTTGTTACCTTCCAACACTGATATGCAAGTACATAGAAAATACCATATACAACAACTTCAAATGACAGTACCTTTGGATTTCTGAATGCTGACTTGCATTTCAAACGTTTCACAGCTTCTGGAATTTGGAAGCTGGTTGTAATATGTCACCACCTTTGAACAAAACAGCACTGACATGAGTAATATTGATTAAAGCTCAGTAAGCAGGTAGGTACTTAACTTGTTAAATCATTTTAACAGGGAAAAAAATGACAAAATTACTCAATAGTTATGATTTGACAAATAAAATAAATAACACCTTTATTTTGTTAAATTAAGGTTTAAAGTGTGAGAAAAATGCCTCGATTGTTCATAAATTGTCTGTATTTTTGATGGAATTTTCCGTGTTGATGATGTAGGTAGAGGAATGCTGTTTTACTTCCTGTATTTTTCAACTTTTTTTTCAACTTTCCACAAAAGTAAAAAAAAAAAAAAGATGATAAATATTTACCACCAAATATTTACCAGGTCAAAAATAGAAAAATATATCATCCGATGTCCAATGCTCAAACAACAGGTTCCAACTTCAATCATTTTTACTAAAACTCAGTGACACTTTACCTCTAGTGTTCCAACGCCGGTTCCCTCAGCCACCACCTCAAAGTCGGCATTTTTCTGTACCTAAAACACAGATATGTAAAATGTTCATATGTTGTATCTTCTTGGAATTGGGGTCACACATTTGGTATAGTTGTCTTGTGGCTTAAACAGAGGGTGTCATGACTTTTTTGATCTTTATACCATTTAATATTGTTGCTTCACCAAAAACCTGCCTGAAGAGGTTTTTTCTAGAACAGGGGTCTCCAACCTGGAGCTCGGGAGCTGCCAGTAGCTCTCCACCACTCCAGCCCGCCAAGGGATTTCTGAATGACACATATTGTCCTGAATAACTCAAATTTGATAAATTATATCAGGGTATCCATAGGTTTGATTACCCCAAATTTAAGACTTTTTTAAGAACTTTTGAAGACCACATAAATGAAAATTAAGACCAACACAGCACCTTATCGTGTAGAGAGAACCGTGATGACACTATTTTATAACATATTTACGGAATCAGTTTTAACATTTTCATTGGTCTCTTGGTTTGGGAGCGTCTCTGCTAAAAACAAGAACAGTTGGTTAAACGGGCGAGTGAAGTGATCGTTCATCTTCAGAGCCGCTGGACTCTCTGTACTCGAGACATTTACAGAGGACGTCCCAGAGGATTTTAAAAGACGTGCAACATCCACTAAACTCAGAGTTTCAGCTGCTTCCCTCTGGTCTGAGGCTTTTAGTCTCTTTAAGATCTAGAACAAATCGTTTTAAAAGGAGCTTCGTTCCGGCTGCTGTCGTACTTATGAATAAATTGTAATCTATTTATCTAAAATGGTGTGTTTTTATATATTTAATATTTATTGTAATTTTAGCCAAGCGTGATGAATGAATTTAACTAACTGTTTGTGGAACAAACCCTTCTGCATTGGAGCACTGTAACACTTTATTTTGTAATTGTGTTTTTATACGTGTTTTGTGGATGAATGAAATGTGAAATGTGGAACCTGCCTCTCAAATCTGCAAAGCAAATTTACCTACAGGTACGAATAAAGCAACCTAACCTAACCTAACCTTTATGTGGGTGAAAAACAATCCAATTCTAATAATGACCAACCAACTACTTTATCTAGAATCTAAGAGTCACTGTGGATTAAACTACACTTCCATCTAACGTCTTCCAACTGATTTTGTACTCATCACCTCCGGTGCCAGAAACCAAAGTATTTGTTTGAGCACAGTCCAAACTAGACGTTCATTCAAGTTACGTGATTTCAAGCTGTTGTTTTTTTCCGCCCTCCGTTTAACATCAAACTGTAGTTGAGTAAACAAAAAATAGGCTAATGAAATTTAATACCTTTGTGAAAAAAATAAGACTTTAACAACATAATTTAAGACTTTTTAAGGCCTTAATTTATGAATATGAAATTTAAGACCTTTTTAAGACTTTTAAGTCCCTGCAGCTACCCTGTATATGCCTGTTATTATTTTAAATCTATCATTTTGATGCCTGACTTTGTGCACTCATCAATAAAGGTTTTATGTTTTACATTTTATCTAACTGTACCCCAGCTACATCTTGCCATGACTCTTATGTATTCAACTTTAGTTCCTGCGACCGCTGAAATGAGCAGCGTCATTTGGCTGGAGTCGTTACCTCACACTCACTCAGTCCACTTGTTTACACAGTATGTTGATGAACATATGTGACTCACGTTGAAAGATCGTGTCTGGGAGCTTGTTGCAGGGATGAAGATCAAGGACTCCGAGCGTGCGCCGATTTGGAAATTGACGTTGAGATTGGCTGTGACTGGAGGAGGCTGAGAGATGAGGTACTTGGACAGAGCGAGAAGTACCACCATGGTGGACTACAAAAATGAAAACAAAGTATGTTTTTACTTTTCTTGTCAGATCTGATTAAGTGCACATGTTTTCACACTACAGGCAGCAACTTTTTGGGACAACGTGTCAATAAAGGCAAGAAAATGTACCGTGAAAAATAAACCGATAAGATAAAAATAAGTCAGATTTGTATGAGATTTTAAAAGCGACCACACACTTATGCTAGATATATTAGTGTTCACCGTTTCCTGTCCAATGTAATGGTTTGAAAACCTCAAGTATAAAACTTTCTGCATTACACTAATTTAAAATTAATCTGACATACACGGAGAATGAATAATTAGAACTTAAAAGCAGCAGTTTCATGTAAAAGTGCAACAACTAATGCCTCTAACATTCACAGAGAGTGAACTGGTTGTCAGATTAAAGCCGACCTATTCTGTAAAATGAACTCCTCAGATCTGTTAACCACGTTACAGTTTTTCCTGGGACTGGGCAATATGGGGAAAAAAAGAGTCACCATTTTTCCCCCATACTGATCGACCTCGATTTTTGATTTGATCTTCTTCCACCTTATTAAAGCACAGACAGACATACTTCAGGTAGAAAGAGCAGTGTGTCACACACAGACACAGAGGAAGAGAAAGACTGGACTTTTAGTCACATTTTTTAAGACTGAAGTTAAAACTTGTGAACATGTGAGGAGACAAAGGGACAAGAGAGTGTAAATCTCATCAGCCCCACACACTCTTACTGCCGCATGATTGGCTGTTGACCTGTTGATTAAAATGCACATGCCTTATCATCGAGATCGACCAAAGATGAGATCTATCGATCTATCGACTTTTGGCACAGTCTTAGTTTTTCCCTTCACCATTTACTCTCTTGAGATTGTATTTTCAAGTGATTTGTGCATGTTTGAACAATCTTTAATCACTTATTTTCATGGCACCATATTACCGAGCAACCCCCATTTTCACTGCCATCAGTACACGGCCACTGCTCTGGACTTACTTTGTTCTTCAGTTTAGTTTTCTTAATCGGTGATACATGTAGGAATTGGCAGTGTTGCATAGTGATTTTGGTACAGCTCTGCAGCTGTCCGTAGGAGGTTCTGTCTCTTTGTTGTGATGATGTTTACTCTGAAGTCTGTTCCCACTGGGCACCACAGTTTTCTAATGTGGAGGTCACTGGTGTAAAATGGCCAAATTTATAAAATAACTTTTTTTTTTTTTTTTCAATTTTGAAGTTACTTCTCCTTGCGTTTGCACATCTGTAAAGAATGTGTTTTTTTCATCCTTACAGCATGAACTAGCACTGTTCATTTGAAGATGAATGTTTTGACCAATATTCAGTACAAAATAAAAAGGCTACCTGAGTGTTTCCAGAAGCACCATTAATATTTCTGTTCTCTCTCAGAAAATCAAAGGGTTTCTTGGCTTCTGTCAGTCGGCCCATCTTCACCAGTGTTAGGAGAGCGTAACCAGTGGCCTCCAGTTTGAACAGGGAGTCAGAATCAGGCCAGTAAGTGCCACCTACAAAAAAGAACATGTAAACTAAAACCACACACAACAGTTTTAAATCTGTGTTTAATGAGATGTAGTGACGGGCCATTTGGATTTTTTGAGGTGATACCGATATTTGATACTTGGTCTGCTGCCGTTAGCGATAACCAATATTTGCTGATATGTAGCTTTTAAAATCCAGTTCAAGGTCCACACATTTATCCTTAATTGAAGATCTCTAATTAACCTTTCACTTAATAACAAAATGTATTTATCTTATTTATCTTGGATATAGAATAATGTGTCACATGTTTGTGTAAACCTACAGACATATAACACTCTTCTATGTGCACATTCAAGTAGGTTTATAGGAATTGTGATAAAATCAGAATCTAACATTACTAAGCAGTGCCGATAATTATTTGCTTGTGTTCATTGTAACTGAATTAGAACAATCATTTATGTTGTCAACTAGTCAAAAGATTGATTCAATTGTACACTGAGACTTAAAGAGGGGTGTTACGTAAATACTTTTTTTTTACCTTTTCCACCCTCATTAAGAAGGTTTAGATGTCATCCAGTAATTTAACCTATTCAAACTCTCCTTATGGTTAACTGTAGATTCTGTGTAATGTTCCGCTCACAACCCTACTTCACCTATGCTCCCACACAACAATTCACCATTAATATACACAAGCATGATCTAGAAATGCACACAGCAACCTGACAAACCTGATGTGATGACATGTGCAGTAGTGTGACTCGGAGGATGGGACAGTGTTAGTTATGGCTTAGTAACTGTAATTGTGGCCAGATGGTTTTCCATGAATAGTTCATTGTTGGTAGTTACCTTCTGATTTTGCCAGTAAACTGTCAGTTGGGTTGTAACCTCCGTTAGTGAGCAAAGCCAGGGCATATGAAATAATGGCCGTGGTGTATGGTCTTGGTGGAGGGCTCCTTAGAAGCTGCCCTTTCAGGTATGGTACTGCCTTAGCTAGAGCAGACTGCAAGGAAGACTGCAAAGAAATGTACAATTATTATCAGTAAAAATTATATTGAAAAAAAACAAAAAACACACAGTGTTGACTTCCATTTTATATTTAAAAAGGGGGTATTTTACTTGGGGGGGTGTTAACTGCTACCATGTAACAAAGCTTATGCACTTGTTTTATAAATTTCATTTTTGCTTTTGCTCCCTGCGCTAAATCCATCCTCCTTCAGAGCACTATCATGGCACACTCAGGGCCCGACTTACCCCCAGTCTTAGTGCTTAGCACATGTGGGGGCGTGGAGTTCTAAACAGGAGTTTGTTTTGATCTGGATCTGTGCAAAAGCTGCTCATTCACATGAGGCCGTTTACAGCGATGTCCTAAAGTGTGTTTTCTTACTCTGTCTGTGTCCTGGACTCTGACAGGGATCAGTGCATTCACTGACAGCATTTATATGACAAGAAACATATTCTATAATCCACAAGACATCCACCTGTGTGGGACCAAATGCAGTGGGCACCAGTGAGACGAGAATGTGAGCGGTCAGGGGGAGCAGCGATTTTTACCTCAGGTGAGTCTGTGGGAGTGGACTGCTGGGACAGGAAGGAGTAGGAGCGAGAAAGCAGTGGGTCTGCTGTGGGAGGGGAGAGCATGAGAGACACTGGTCTGCTGCATAACGAGAGGAAAACGAACACAGAGAAAACTATACAAGGTGCACGGGCTTACAGTGGTGCGCGTGCATGAGAGGGGCGCACGTGCACATGGAGTGTTCGGAACACAAACCCAGTCAGTTCTGACCTGGCCCATACTAAATTTTATATTCCTTGTGCGTTTGCTGATGTTTACTTGCATCGTGAGGCTCTGGAGTTACACACATTACCCACACTGACAGTGAGTTTTAAATGCCACAGCGGTCACAGATGGTTCAGATGCCGTCACCATATATGTACTTGTATCATCCCACTCCAGCCTCTAGCAGAGAAGTACAGCCCCACCTGGACACGCCCCCTCCTTAACACTTGTCCTTAGTGCTAAGACTGGGGGCAAGATTGGGCCCTCAGTGTGCATCCTGATAATGAAACTACTGCAAATCGCATCAGGATTGTCAAGTTGCTGTGTAAAGTTGTGTATCATATTTTTGTATATTTATGGAGAATGTGGTGTGGGAGCGTGGGGGACAAGGCTTGTGGGCTGAGAATTGGACAGAATCTTAGAGCTAACTGTAAGGAGGGTTTGAAAAGGGCCTGGGAGAGATTTATAAATTACTCAAACATGAATACTTCACATCATCAACATCCCTTCAGGTATGTTCTTGATGAGGGAACATTATAAACATGGTAGAAAGCTAAAACCTGTAGAAACCTGTAGAAAGCTAATTACCTGTATGTTTGTTCCACAGTCAATATTTGATTCTTTAAATTCAGCAAGTGCAATTGAGACAAATGCAGTCAATGTTGCTTCAGAATCTGAGCCTCGTAGACCACCCTGGAAACATACAGTTAAGAAGTAGGTCACCCACAAATGTCTAATATTATTTTCCTGGCAAATGCACTTTTTTAGTCCGTGACTGTTGCCATTTGAAAATCTGCTAATGAAAGGATTCTCCAACTGTATTCCCCAGGTGTAGCAGGTGTCCACTTACCGTCATAAACTGGTTGCTTACAGGATTATTCTCTAAGAATTTCCCATCTTGGGACTGTGTATGCTTCAGAAGAAACTCCAGAGGATCACAGATTTCATTAGTGTCCATGTCCAAATGTTGACGTCTCTGTGTGTACAAGTCGAAGGCCATAGTGAAGATCTTCATCACATACGCTGTGACCCTGTATTCAAAAAGAACAGATCAGGAGTCAAATCAGTCTGTTTTACTAAATGTGTCAAAGCTGAATTATACATTTTTACTGGTTGAAGTGCATATGACAGGAACAATTTACATACAACAAAGGCATTTTTGACAGTTTAAACTTTTTAACAATGTAAAGTCTTATTATCTATTATTATTAGTCCCCATTCACAACTTGAGTAATTTAGACTTTGTCAACATGATGATTGCTAGAGAAAAGAACTGGAATTATCTCTACATATGTCATGTCTGCTGTCCACGTCCATGCGAAAGATTACAAAAATATATATAAAAATAACCAAAATTAAACTTGCTAAATCTTAAATATAATTTTAATTATGTTTAAGTGGAAAAGTGCTTAAAGATCTGTCAAAGGTTCTGTAACGCTCAAATGAATTAAACCCAAATGTGTCCTGGGCACAGAGCGTATAAAGACACAGGCGACTCTGACGTCACCCATAGCATAACGAGTTCCATATTAGGAACAGGAATTTATTAACGGACAAAATAGTGAAATAAAAACACCAGGATCATGTAAAGTGGGTTAATACAAATATTTTAAGACCAAAATGACGAGGCCCACAGCAGCAGTTCCACAGAGGGGTTTAATATAGTGACTAGCAGTTTAGCTCTGTCCATATATACAGAGAGTGTAAACTCTCTGTATATATGGACAGAGCTAAACTGTCCTGCTCTGCAGGGAAAACATGGACATATTTCATTAACTGATCAAATCAGTCAAAGTCTGGCTCGTACCATGTGCTTGGGCCGTGCTTGGCGTAGGGAGGGTAAGATCCATCACTCCGTTTGAAATTCAACTGATTGGATATTCCTGAAAGAGCAAACTTTCACTTTGGCTCAAAATAATCTCGCACATTAATTTGACATATGAAAGAACAAGAGAAAGTTGCGTGCATCACCACGTCACCTTCTGGAGGTGGCACATCCCCTGCATGTGTCCATGGAAATAGACATTTGAACCATCAGAACATTCACATTCAGAAGGTAAGAGTCATTTTTATAGAGATGTAAGCTCAGAGTAAGGATGTATGTTGTTCTGTTTTTCACTGCCATAATTTTTTTTTTTTGAGATTGCAGATCTCCAGTTTATTTATAGAAATAAGTTCATCTGTAGTGTCAGACAAACTAGGAACATTTACTTTGACAAGTATAAACAGAAGTGGCACAATGACATTTTATGTAAACTAAAACTAAGAACATATATTTTAATTAAAAACTCTTTTGGTCCTGAGCTCTACGTCACTCTGAACAGGAGCAGAGGTCAGAGGTCAGTATGTGTCCAGCTGAGGTGTGGGACTCTGGCTCAGAGGAGGACACTTGTGTTCTGTGTGACTTAAAGGACATTGAAAATGAGATGCATTTTCTGTTCTACTGTCCTTTGTATCATGACCTGCTCTGTCAGTTGTGTCTAATGTGTCTTACTGTTGGTTTGTTCTGTCTGATGAGGAGAGACTGAAGTATTTGTTTAAATGTAATGTTTTCAAGATGGCTCTGTCTGGGACCTTCATAAGAGGACACGTTATGTTTGATGTGTGACCTGTCTGCTTATTGTTTTATGTGTCTTATAAGTCCATGCGCGCTGGGCACAAACTAAATGATGCATGACACTAAATAAGTACCATAAACTAAACTAAACTAAACTAAAGCCATAAAAATATTCAGAATGACAAAAAAGTCTTTGAGATGTCTTTAGTCCTGAGAGTTGTTACTCTCTGGCACACTGTCTGTTGGCCATGTCTGATGAATCCTCCTGTTTAACATTTAACTAATTATTGATAATGAGTCATTCTAATGAATAATCAATAATAAGGTTAATACTTTTAAAATATATATATTTTAAACTGTGAGTGCGGTTTTACTTCCCCGTGTTTTTATGGGCTCACTGATTAACTTGTTCTCTTTACAAAATTCTGATGATTGATGTAGAAACTAGAAAGGCAGGTGTTTGAAGTACTTCAAAAACACTGCATATTCTTAGCCAACATGCCACTTAGAAGGTCCATACCTTTTTTTATGTATTGGTCAGCGTCAATCTTGCGCTGTATTGCTACCGTTTCCCAGCCATTGGTCCGGTCCAGGTACAGTGCGGCAATCACTGGAAAAGTGACCGCTGCCAGGTTCTGCTCCACACAGCCTCCAGGCATCCGGATTAACCTGGCTAGTGGGTCATCGTGGATGGCGTTCTCAATGCTTTCAGCCAATACGTCTCCTGCAACAGGACACATGCCACGTTTTTGTTGGGATGTGATTTTAGGGATAGTTCTGGTTTAAACATGTTATGATTTACCTGACAGTTTGATCTTTGTTTGTGGCTCAGAGTTGGGCACCACCACTCCCTTCAGGACTGGTTTGATTGTTCGAACTACTTGTCTGCCTGAAGATATAAAACAGGTGATGACAGTGAAAACATAACTTCAAGGTTCTACATTATGCAAAATAGAATCTTATGAGCTTTAAGCCACGTTAGAATGTGGTTGGTACCAGATACTTAGGTACTTAGGTCTAACTTTCTGAAGGTAGCACTTGGCACGACACCTGCATGATCCATGTAAACAGAAATTTAAAACCATACATCAGAACATTCTCAAAAGAGATTTCTGATATTTCTATGCCATAATTTCCATGGAAACCAGGAGGAAACCCTCCTCTAGGCCAAAATAAGAGTAAGGTCTGTGGACACGTGACCCCGCTCAGAGTAAGTAAGCATGTTTTTTTTGTTTTTTTTTCACACTGTTGCTTTAAAATGAATATGCTGATGGTTGCTTTGTCTGTCTTTCACCTTTATGTGCCGCGGGTTCCAAGAGGATGATGTTGCTTTCAGCCGTTTGCACTCCCTCCATCTGATCAGGTCAAAAAAACAAAAAAACAATAGAATGTAAAAGCCTTCATACTGTCCACTAAGGGCCTCGGTTATCATTCCAGGGGCTAAACTGTGAGTATAAACCGAAAAAGAGCATGTAACAGTTTGTGGCCATGTTGCACCTGATTTACTACTGGGAGGTGTGTTTTATTTCTTACTGTGTATTATTTCTTTAGGACATGAGACAGACTTTAGGACATGGGACAGTCTTTAGGACATGGGACAGTCTTTAGGACATGGACAGACTTTAGGACATGGGACAGACTTTAGGACATGGGACAGACTTTAGGACATGAGACAGACTTTAGGACATGAGACAGACTTTAGGACATGGGACAGTCTTTAGGACATGGGACAGACTTTAGGACATGAGACAGACTTTAGGACATGAGACAGTCTTTAGGACATGGGACAGTAGTGTCCAGTTTGTTAGGCTGCTGGTGTGGACTGCTCAGGTTCAGTTGGAGACTTGTGGGAGTCAAGGTCAAAGTGTTGCAGGTAAAAAGTTTATATTTTATTACTGTTGCTTTGAAATCAACATCTTACCATCTCATCTCTTCTTTAGCGTCAGAGAAGCTGTGTTGTGTTTTCGCTCCATTTTTAGCCTGGTTAGCTGTTTAGCACATAAGCCCAGAAAGAATTCTCTCACAGAAGCAAAATGCATTTTGGGAATTCAAACTGCCCGTGTTTGGCTGACAGGGCATTCAGCTTTCACTAAGGCTGGATGTTGCAGGGATTTCTTTCTATTTTCACAACATAAACTTTCTAAAAATTTTACTCAAAGTGCCTCAAAGTGATCTTTGTAAGACGTCTGCTCTAGCTCCCCTCTAGCAGCTCTCGCTCTGATTGGTCCAAACGCTCCACCACACCGTGCAGGGTACGGACATCACACAGGTGGGAGGAGCTCACCCGTACTGAGGGAGTAATGCAAAAGAGAATATTATTTTGGGCCCATGTGCCAATGAGCCCAGGCCACTGAAAACAATACGACACCATCTTGGGTTCAGCTTCCAGATTTGATGATAGTTCTATGGAGCAACCGCTTGATAAATGAGGCCCTAAGACTAAAACTACATTTTTAAGAATTCTGTCAAAATTGACTCACATTCTAGAAGAAAAAAAAAAACTTACCACAACATTAAGTGTCTTCGTAATACCATCGTTGTGCATGTTCTTAACATATGCCGACACCTCGATGGGGAGTTTTCCAGCTTTTAATGGCACAATGGTATAGGGCACAACTTTGGAAGACTTGGGCTGCACTCTAATCCTCTGTGTATTCGCCCTCTTGAAAGCCACACTGCACATGTCCCTTGTCTTCCCCAAAACCACTTTCACCTAATAAGAAGAACACAGAAGACGACATATTATTCTCAAATACAGGGGTGCTCACACTTTTTCATCATGCAAGCTACTTACAAAATGACCAAGTCATAATTATCTACCTAATACAAAGCCAAACAAACTGCACTAAAACACTCTGTGCCCCTTTTTTGGACCCTCACCCACAGTTTGAGAACCCCTTCTTTAAGAGAACTTCCTCTGGCACTTTACACAAAACTGTGAAAAAAGTGAAGGAAGATTTTTAAACCTGTTTTTTAAAGTTCCAAACTGGAGTTACATTCTTTTCTGGTTTTGCAGTGATATTTACCAGCCTCTGCACATTTACCAAACCAAACGCACATCGTGACAAACACAGATGCATTTGTGCACTTTTGTTAGACAAACTTCAGCCAAATGTGGCAGTAGGTCTGTTCTGTAGATCCGCTCTATGCTGTAGACCTGCTTTGTGCCAACACTGGAACACAAATTTAGACTGGTTTTTGCTTCACGTTTGGTCTTGCTCTTCTAATCAGCCGCACTGTGGGAGGGGCTTGTGTTGGCTGTACGCAGGAAGGAGCGAGAGCGTGAAAAGGCGAGGGGCGGCGTGCTGACGTGAGGCAGATGGACAGGTAGGATGTTTAGGAAGTTGAACCTGCCCTGTGATGCACGCTGGTACACGAGGGCACACGCTGTTGCAGACGAGCCGTGCATAGGGAGCGTGTGTGTTTGTGATGTGCCGTAGAGTCTCCGCGGGTTTCAAATGAGCGCACAGGCTGCACTGAGACGCCCCACACGCTCCTGCACCCGCTACAAGTTTATTGCCAACAGCAGCGGCCGTAATGAAATATGATCGCACTTGTTGAGTGTCAGACCTCGAGTGAGAGACAAGACCGAGTCCAAACCCGAGTCCGAGACGAGACACAGCGATCTACCCACACGACCTTGGCAATCAACTGGTAGATCGCGATCGACGTATTGAGCACCCCTGCTCTAATATATAGTAACAAAATATGACCAGACCTGATGAGAGAAGATGTCATGCCACAAGACTGTGCACACATGTAGAAAATGATCATTTTACTCAAGTAAGAGTAACTTTACTTCAAAATATTTCTCAAGTATATAGAGTTGTGGACAAAATTGTTGGTAAGGAAAGAAAATCAACAATGGTCACTGAAATAACTTGAAACTGAGAAAAGCAATAATAAATAAAAAATTCCTGAAAAATAACCAATGAAAATCAGACGCTGTTTTTGATTTGTTGTTCAACAGAATAATTTTAAAAAACTAACTAATGAAACTGGCCTGGACAAAAATGATGGTACCCCTAGAAAAGATAGGGACATGTTAAAATTCTGCAGCACAGGTTCTTCAAACTTATCCTCAGTCAGTCTGTCTGTTTAAAGGGCGACATGTGTCATTGTGCTGTTTGGAGACATGATGGACACAAGATTGAACATGGACCAGAGAAAGAGAAGAAGAGAACTGTGTCAGGAGACTAGAAAGAAAATAATAGACAAGCAGGATAAAGATAAAGACAATAAGACCATCTCCAAGCAGCTTGATGTTCCTGTGATTACAGTTACACATGTTCTTCACAAGTTTAAGGTCCACAGGACTGAAGCCAACCTCCCTGGACGCGGCTCCAAGAGGAAAATTGATGACAAATACAAGAGTTGGATCATATGAATGGAACCAAAGAGCCCAGAACAACCTCCAAACAAATTAAATGTGACTTTGAAGGGTGAGGTACATCAGTGTCAGATCACACCATCCATCACTGTTTGAGTCAAAGTGGACTTCATGTGAGGACACCACTGCTGAGAGCAAATCATAAAAAAGTGAGACGGGAATTTGTCACAGTGCATATTGACAAACCCCCAAAGCTTCTGGGAGAATGTTCTTTGGACAGATGAGACAAAACTAGAGCTCTTTGGCAAGACACATCAGCTCTATGTTCACAGACGCAAAAATGAAGCAGAAAAAGAAAAGAACACTGTCCCTACTGTGAAACACGGAGGAGGTTTTGTTTTGTTTTGGGGCTGTTTTGCTGCGTCTGGCTCAGGGTGTCTTGAATCTGTGCAAAATACAACGGAATCTCCAAACTATCGAGGTATTTTGGAACAAAACGTGTTGCCTAGTGTCAGAAAGTTTGGTTACAGTCATAGGTCATGGGTCTTCTAACAGGATAAAGACCCAAAACACACAGCTAAAAACACACAAGAATGACTAAGAACAAAACATTGGACTGTTCTGGAGTGTTCTTCTGTGAGCCCAGATCTCAATCCTACTGAACATGTGTGAAAGGAGCTGAAAAATGTGTCTGGAGAAGGCATCCTTCAAACCTGAGACAATTAGAACAGTTTGCTCATGAGAAATGGGTCAAAATACCAGTTGACCAGTGTAGAAGTCTCACTGACAATTACAGAAATCAGTTGGTTGCAGAGTTTGCCTCAAAAGGTTGTGCAACAAAATATTAAGTTAAAGGTAAAATCATTTTTGTCCAGGCCACTTTCAATATTTTGTTTTTTTTAAAATAATTCTGTTGAACCACATCTGAAAAACAATGTTTGATTTTTGTTGGACAATTTTCACCCAGGACACGCTGGAGGGACTATGTCTCTTGGCTGGCCTGGGAACGCCCCGGGGTTCCCCCGGAAGAGCTGGAGGACGTGTGTGTGGAAAGGGAAGTCTGGGAGTCCCTGCTTAGACTGCTGCCTCCGCGACCCAGCCCCGGATAAGCGGAAGAAAATGGAATGGACAATTTTCAGTAAATTTTTATTTGTTATAGCTTTTCTCAGTTTCAAGTTATTTCTGTGATTATTGTTGATTTTTTTACCAACAATTTTGTCCACAACTGTATACAAAGTAGTGGGCCAAGAAATCACTCAAGTGGTATTTTCAAGGAATAGACCACAAAACAGAAAAACTACATACGGGTAGTGTCAAGGAAGACACATTTTGACTTTTAGTATGGTCAACATAAAGCTTTTGTCAAATGTAGAAATACTTTCTCAAGTATAAGAGTACTGTTACGTCAGTAAAATATCAGTGAAGTGGGAGTAAAAGTATGTTGCTAGAAAAATATTCGCAGCATTCCTTTAGAAAAGAACATTAATAATAGACATAGGCAACAGGTTTGATTGACAGCTATCAAGCCTTGTTGCTAAGCACTGGTTGCTCATTAGCCACTATAACTGCTAGCCTTGATTAGCTTCATTTGTCTGAAGCCAAACAGTATAAGCAGCATCACAGTGCTGCAGTCCACTTCTCTCCAGTCAGTACGACCCACCTCTGCTGCTGAGATTCTGTTTGTTGTTTCTATGTGACTAAAGGTTAAGATCTGGTTTGTTACATCTCGGGAGAAGCTGTAGTTGGACAATGACAACAAAACTAGAAATGAATAAACTGAGACACAATCTCCCATCTCTCAACTAGCAAACTGCAAATGTATTTATAATATTTCCTCATCATTCCCACATGTTTAAAGCTGCACATTTAGGCTGAGTTCTTCTCTCAAACTGAAAACACTCATGTCATGGGGCAATACAGGAAGTGCCCCACTGTGTTTTTAAACTCCATGTGCCTTCATTGGAATCATCTGGATAATCTGAGCTATGGAATTGCCAATCTCTACTGAACAAAAGGTAAAAGGAGCTGTTCACTTGAAAACTACAGCTTCATCCATCACAAGGTGGAACAGGGCATTTTGAGATTTGAAGATGTAAACGGACTAATAATAAAGGATTACCAGTACTCAGACACACAGTGAAACAAAACACAAGTCCAGGTCTGTTTTTGATGAGGTAATTACATTTTAACATGTCTTAAAGCTCACAAGAGTCAGTTTTATGTAATATAGGACCTTTAAATCCAGCATTGTTATACTAAGCAATTCAAAGTATTATACTGCAGTACAATATAGGATTACTCAAATATGCAAGAAATCAATTAAAATACAACTTTGAGTAAAGTTGATTTGAAAGTGTCATGTCTCAGTTAAGATCTAAAAAGGTTCAGGAGGAGATAATGGACTGACTGAGTTTCCTTACATCCAGTGGGTCATCCAGATAGTTGTACACCACTGCTTTAATCTCCACCTGCTCATTTCTTGCCACTGAAAACGGCAGCTTCAGATCCACAAAGAACGGAGTCATCACCACAAATGTCCATGGCTCACCCACACAAAATCCTGCAATGAATGTAGTTTTGTCAGGGAGTAGAGAAGTAGGGGAAATCAGATGGTACAATTAGCACAATACAATAAAGTCACTTCCACAGTACAGAAATAAATCCTTCCTGAAGAGCTTCAGAATGATCTTGAGCTGTATCAGAGCAAGTTTAACAGCACATAGACTAGTATACGCCCATGGACCACTATGGAACCAACCCGCACCACTGAGGGATTACACACATATAAGATCACAGGGAATAAAAAAGAAAGTACTCTTATGTTGAAAATCCCATTCTATTTTTATTGTTATTGTGGTACTGAAACCCTAATAAGTATCAAGTCTAGTGGTTAGTATCAAAGTCAAGTTTGACATTTTAGTATCATAATAATGCAAAGTGAATGACAGTCTTTTGTACAATTTTACATCCAAAAGATCAGTTTTGTAATGGATGTTTTTGTCTTACCTGTTTCCACGGAGGAGCTCACGGCGAGGACGGACCATTGGGTAATGCTGTCTGGTATGGCATCTGTATGATGTAAAGTGGCTACTCTGTAAAGCATCATTTAATATGATTTTAGTCATTTGTAAATATAAAAAAATGTTTCAAAAGTAGTCATCTGGAAATCAAAACATCTTTAAAAGAAGACATATGGACTTCCATCCAAAAGTCATTTTAAGTTTCATGGTGCTGTTTGACAGTTATAATGCTCTGAGCTACATAAGTCCTGGCCCCAAAATCAAATGCAAATGTTTTTTTTTTTTGAGCTTTCTACCATGTTATAACATTTAACCCTCTCAGGCTCAAATTAATTTTTAGTATCAGGAAAAATCTGATATTTGGGGAAAATTATAATATTGGGTAGTAATATACAATCCTGACTTTTTTATCCTTTGTAAAAAAAATTAAAAAAAAGATTTTGCACTTCTGGCAGGCCGTTTGTGTGTAGCCCTTCTTGCACAGTCTGCATCACCCACGTTTATCAGCATGGATGGGAGAAAAGGCTCCTGAGTTAAAAAGCTCATAAAATATGGATGTGGAGTAAGCAGGTAATTGGCATTTAGCTGTTGCAAATCTGCAACACATGCCTGGAGAGGGTTAAAAAATGCAAAAAACCCAAGGCACTCAGTGGTTAAAATAAAATGCCTTTATTAATTTACGGCATGTCTTGGGCACCACTGAGTTTTCTCTACTGAGTATTATCCTCTGGAGGTCCAGGAAGAGCTTCTTTTGAAACCTTTTTCATGTTATAACATGTTCCCTCATCAAAAACACAGCTGAAGAGTTTTTATGTGTCATCCGTGTATGTCTGCTGGGCTCTTGTCAAACTCTCCTTGTGGTTAGCTGTAAGAGTCTGCCCAGTGCTGACTGTGCTGTGACAGTTCTCTGAAGCAGGAGTAATAACTCTTTAGACTCTTTAACTTAATCTGCTGTTGTCCCATATAAATCCTAGTATAAATCTAGTTCAAATTATTGGTTAACTACACTTTTTTTGTCAGTCGTTTGGATGCTTAAGTAAAAACGTTATCATAAATTTTCAAAACTTGCCACTGAATGAGCTAATCAGCTGATGTTGGAACAACCCTCTGTCTATTTTCAAGTATTAACTTGCAGAATCTGAAAAAAACTGTTGTCGACTGAGACACCATGGACTGTTTACTTTTTTCAGTCTCTTTGGCCAAATTTTCTGAAACTTTCTGGCAAACCTCTTGCATTCTTTGCAAAATGATTCACACACAAAACAAATCTGAATGTAGCTTGTGTGTGAATAAAACTCTCTTGTAAACCAGAAGAGAGAGTACTTGTAGATGTACACATCTAAAAGTACAGAAGCCTGTAAGTCCAGTATCACACTGTTTCTACTTTGACAGAGGAGGAAAGGCTGTAAATATGATATGTGAACAATACTATAAAAATAAACATTTAGGGAACAAAAAAGCTCAATTTTCAAGGTTTTCTCTACAGCAGTCTTTTACATTGTGGTGCTAGTGCTTCTGTATTTGCCTATAAAATCTCTTCATTCTGTGATTCCTGTGTGTTCACTTTTGTCCCCTGTGTTTTTGGTCTACAGACCTTGGTGAGAATATGTAATATTTAGGTAGAGACTATAGCACGCGCAGAGAGAGTATTATAGTTGCAATCTGTGTTTAACTAGTTGATCATTGTGTTTCAGGTTCTGCAAATAGTGTTTTAAAGTTTTCATATGAGAGTTAATGCTTAAAATTAGAGATAAGGTTCAGCCAACATGTGATAAGTGAGTCTCTTTCAGTGGCAACTTTAGAAAATCTTTGCCTTTAGACTTTAGAGTCAAAGCAACTGAAAGAAACTGTAACTGACTTAAGGCCTACAGCCCTAATGTTTAAAAAAATGAGCTCAGCATGGGGAGGCCTTACCCTTCATTGTTGGTTTGATCAGGCATGTTTTTATCCAACCAAAGCCATGAATCTTCTAATTTTTTACGCATATAGAGATCTTCGTCTTCGTCTTCATCTTCTTCGTCTTCACTCTCTCCTGATGCCCCAAGAGCTTTACTGTCAGAATCTGTCAAAAGATTCAACCTCTTTTGAGATCATTCTAGTGCCAGATAAATATGTGTAGCATGGCTCTCATTGAAATTGACCAGGATAAATACTCCAAGCTTAGTGGTTATGGAATAAGCTGAAAATATAACTTCTGTTAGATTCAGATGAGAGAAATGCACAGACATCTTTCCCTCCACAAATGCACAAAGAACCACTGCACATTTTCTATAAATAAACTAGTGTGTATTTTCACTAAAATGGACTGAAGTACGTTTGTCGGCATCGCCGTATTTGTTTCAGAGCTTCGCCTTTGGCTTCCACCCAAACCACAATGCTGCTCTGCTCTGCTCTGTGCTCCAATCTTCTCCCATCAGCCACCAGGTCCTATTGCACTGACGGGAGCAAGCCAAGATGGATTCTTGTGAGTTTGTGATCTGTGCTTTTTAGGAGTTGGTTTCTAAACTGTTTGACTTAGAAGTCTCTGATGAAAACCTGGTTTCCACAGTTTTCCACTACAGAAGTCATGTACATTGTGGTACTAGTGCTTCTGTTTTTGTCTATAAAATATATTCATATTCATTCCTGTGTGTTCAGTTTTGTTCTTTGTGTCTGTGGACTGTGGTAAGTGTGTGCAGTATTTAGGTACACCCAGCACGTGCAGAGAGAGTGTTACAAACTGGTTTGATTTCTGGTCATCAGCAACCAATCTCCGATCTCTGGTCATCAGATGCCATCCCATACGGACTCGGTCAGCCCGACGTTCCCTGTACCTCCAACTACGCGGGCTGTCCTCACCTCAACTTATCGCCATGATCTCATGAAACAGCAGCATGTAGAACTTTGGACGCAACTCACCACACATCAGCCCAGAGCAGAAGCTCTGAGCCCCTCAAGACGGGATTGGGGGTCTGGTCCTTGGTTTCATCACGTCCTCTGAGCATGTCGGTCAGATTGGTCTGGAGGCTCCGTCCTCCATATGCTGGTTCCAGAAGGGGGCGAGCAAGACCAATGCACAATGGACTGAGTTCAAGCGGTTCCATGCAGTCGTCTGCGTGCTGGACCCATGCGGGGAAAGCAAGAATGCGCTGTGGACTACAGGTCCGGGCGGGCTTTTCCTGTCCTCCGCGCTCAAGAACTCCGGCTGGTTTCGAGATGGTGCAAAGCATCGGGACAGAAACGTGAATCCAGTTTGGTTCGTTAAATGTTGTTCTGAGCATCCTTGGTTCTTGGTTCTTACTGGGAAAAGCGCTTCTCAGGCTGAGGAACCCAACACCACCACTCCCGCTGGGTCAGGACTCTGGTTTTGATCTAGTCCGACTGTAGCATGTTGTAAATAACAATTTAGCCATTTTATTTATTTTCTCCAATTAATTTTAAACTGCAGCCCTGTAGATAATGTAGACCTACTGTGTGTTTCAGTGTCAACAATAAATGTTTTGAACTTGTATTTTCATTGATTTGTCTGTTGTTCATACATTCAGACACTGATAAAACTATGCTGCTTCTGTATCACAATCATAACACAAGTTAGACATTATGATGTCCCGGACCTCCTCAAACTTTAGTTGAATACCCCTGCTATAGTCTGTCTGTGGCATCCACCGTGGTGTCTTTTTTCACATTTGAGTCTGTATTGCTTAACAGTTAGGAGATGGGGACCCCCTGAATAGTGACAGGTATTTACCTGAGGCATCAAAGGCGGACCCGCTGCCTCTGCTTCTTCCCAGATCCTGGCTGTCCTGGCTGTCTGAACTCTGAGAGTCGACCTGCTTTTTGTAAACGTTGCAACATTTAAGGAAAGTCTTGACACACTCTGGTTCCTCTGTGATGTAGCTCGCGCGCTGCTCACAGGAGTACGGCATTAGCACCCTCCTCAGGCCGTCCCGGCAACAGCGCCGCAGGAGTTTCTCCTGAAATTGTTCCACTGCCAGGATTAGAAATAACACACCATGTCAGCACTCATTCAGGTGTGATTTTAATTCCAGATGGAGTTTACTGTCTCACATAGCTGTGCCTGTTGCTCCATCAGAACAGACCGCCTCCTCCTCATGTGGTCTGAACACTTCAGTTCTGTCAGCACATCATTACAATATTAATTAGCAAATTTCATCTAAATGTAACTTCATTTTTCCTTTCTTTCTTTGGTGTTTGGTTACCTTGCCTGCTGTCTGTAGAGGGCCCATTTTTCATGGCAAAAAGCAGCCCCGCGTCACTGAAAACTCCCATTGCATTCTTCCCGCTTCCGTGGGTGCAGCCCATGTCTCTGCTGTCCACCTCATTCAAAATCTTAATTCAGTAATGTAAATGTAAGATGGTTTGAGAAATGCCACACATTTTTAGGGATGTACAGTGCATATTTAAAGACATATAGTGTTTTTAAAAGACAAACTGACGTGTCTTTGGTTGAAGCGTCGCTTGCTGAGCAGATACACAGCTTGGTCCACTGCCACCAGACTGATTTTGGCCCTCGGTTCACCTTCGATCTTCAGTTTCAGTGGTTTGCCCGGCCTGTATGCTATTGGCATAGTATCCACTGCGCTGATAACTGGCTGTAGTTTTGGTTCGATACAAGAAAAAAAGTTATAAAAATACTTGTAGTATATGCTTCTGTTCTCTTCTTTGTAGAGCAAAAAAATGGACAAAAAACATCCCACAAAAAGCAAAGAAACACATTTCATCTGCTGCTGCCCATTGTTGTTGAATGAAATGTTTCATATTAAATCGGGTGTGACAAATTCTCACATGGAATTTAAGACGAAAGTGTTTCATATTTTTAGCAAATTATTTTACCTAATTAAAAATGTTACTTCGCATCCCCAAATAAATAATCTGGCCAACCAAAATCTCATGCTTTGACAAACCTTTACAAAGACAGGTACCTGTCCCCCCGATTTCAGCTTGGTCTGATTGAAAGGCGGATTACAGAGTTTCCATGAGGCATTAAAAAGCATTTCATTTCAAGTGGCATTAAAAATATTGGCAGTTGTGCCAAAAACCTTTCTAGACAGCTATCTAGTTGAACATTTATTGCAATATATTTAAGGAAGTTAATTTTGCCAGATGTTTAGTTCCCACCGGTGGGATGTCACCTCCGGGGTTCTTGCTGAGTAGAGGCTAACTTCACGTCTGGGAGGTACAGGTGAGGTGTGTGTTGTGGTTCGATGTGGGGACAGTCTGAAGAGAAAGTCTCCTCGCTCGGACCTTGGCTTTGTTTGCTCACGTCACAGAATCACGTGCACATAATTAGGCTCTGATAGTACTGACTGTGAAACATGCATGGATGAAAGAGCTGTCCAGAGAACTTTGGCGTTTCAGTTCCCTGTTTCATGAGATGTGCATGCTGTTTACATCCAAGTGCAGGGGCCACATAAGCCAGACTGCTGCATCTAAAGTCCACCCAGTATTAAATGCACTGTGGTATAATGCCTAACAAATGTAGGCTGGTCTGTGCAAAGACGTCTAATGACCTGCGCTCCCGTAATGTGCCAAGTCTAGAGCTATATGTGCATGTTTGGAGTTGCAAAATCAATATGACCAGTCATCAAACGTCACAGGAGGTATGTGACTACAAAGTCTGGGAACCATTGCTCTGTGAGGAGTGTTTTAAAGGTATCCTTCAGTTCTGAGCACTTCACACAGGCTCAATGTGCGACTTCATTTGTTTCTTTAAATTTGTGTGTGTAACATTATAGTGAGTCTGGGGCAGTAATTTTAGCTGGGAATGTTTACAGTCCCTCAGTCATGCAGGTAGAATCCATGGCAAAAAAAATTCAATTTGTCAACTGGATAAAAGTTTATTTTGGTTGAATACTGAATTGAATGATTCTACTAATAAGACCCCACACTCGGTGCAGTTCAATAGGCCTAGCTAACAAACAGAAAGTGTAAAAAAGTAGGTGTGTTAGTTTCAGAGTAGTTTCAGTGTAGTGGATGAGCTGCAAAACTTATTTGACCAAAATAAACTTTTGTCCAGTTGACAAATTGAATTTCTTCTTTTGCCTTTAGCTGGAAACATTTTCAGTAATGTACTGATCCCTAATACAAAAGATATTTGGTGGAATTAGGTTCAAAACACCCAATTATATATTGCAAGGAATAAGCTTTACAAAATGTTTTGCATTATAATAACTACCTATAGGTTCTTGTTATTCTGCTGTTACAAAACTAAATGTCTTCCTTTTCACATCTGTTAATAGCATTAAAATACTAAACTGTGGCATTAAAAATGCATTAAAAAGCATTAAATGTGGTTTGTTGAAACATGAATAACCCTGGATTAACCAGAGAAAGAGATTTATCAGAGCAATGAAATGGTTTACATTTAAAATAAATAAGACAGAGGACTGAAAAACATTGTGGATTTCGTCAGAATCCCTGAAGTAAAACAAGTTTATATTGTTCTGAATGATATGAGAATTTTCTTCAACATTTATAGACACATGCACAGACACATCACCTGTTGTGGCTGGACCGTCCCAAGTTAGTTGTCACGTTCAATGGTCTACTTCCAGACTCTTCTGGATTTTAACTGAATGTAGGAGGAACTAACAAGTTCAAAATGCTCTGTTCCACTTTGTGATGTCATGCACTAGTAGTTTTCAAGTTAACAGCTTCCTTTTGTTTAGTAGAAAAAATCCAGGGTTGAAATTATCTAAATGATTCTAGTGAAGGTGTACGGAGTTTAAAAACACAATGGAACACTTTCTTTTTTTTAACACATGACATCACAAAGTGGAACAGAGTGTTTTCTGTTTGAGAGAAGCCTAAATATGCAGGGTTTGTGTATTAAACGTGTGAATGAAACAACTCTTTTGACTAAACAACATTATAGAATAGAAAGAAAGAGCATAATAGGCTTTTTTATACTCACTGGATGGACACATGTCTCGGACACACGCAGTTTCACAGAGTCTGACACCACCTCATTTCCAATGGTATAAAATGCCACAAAACGAAAAGTGGGCATCATGTCAGAGGTGACTGTGATTGTGACGCTGGTGATCAAATGTTCGCTCACTGGAACACGCCTGGCATCCAGAATCTTTCCTTTGCTCAGGACCTGTGGAGATGACAGAATGATACAGTTTATAGGCACAAAAGAGCTGGGAATTTATCAAAGTCGAACCGATAGTGGTAATATATTTTTCTTAATTTACATTTAACACTCAAGGTCGTTTTACAGCGAATAAACACAACATAAACAGCATTAATATAATTAACAGGGCCCATATGACACTGCTTCCTGATCTGTTCTAATGCTGTTTCCTCATCAGAAACACCTGGACTTGTGTTTTGTTTCATTCACAAATGTTTAACACACATAATCATTTGGATGGAATGGTCCATCTCTACTGACCTTAATGTAAAAGGTAGCTGATAACTTGAAAACTACTTTACAACTTTGTAACTTTACTACTTTACTTTACAACTAACTCTATGACATCACAAGGTGGAACAGAGAATTTAAAGATGTAGACAGACTAATAATAAAAGGTTACTTAAACTTGTGTGAATGAAACAAAAGCAACTCAAGGTATGTTTGTGAGAAGGTGTACTATAAAATGGTTTAAAGGTCACAAGAGTCAGTTTTGTGTCATATAGGACCTTTAAACAGAATAAGCTAATCTGAAAAGATGAGTTTTGGACTTGAAAAGAAGAAGTTTGTCTAAGTTCAGGCGGGAGGGAGTTCCAGAGGGTGAGGGTTGAGCAGCTGAACATTTGTTATATTAATACAGACTGGGGATTGAAAAGTACTGATTCTCTTGCAAATACATTGATACTTCAAAATAAAGGCTGTTTTCTGATGAAATTTTAGTCAATTGATGAAATACATGGTTTTTATTTTAGTTTAACAGCACTTAAATTAATGATTTTAGATCAGATCAAGCTAGGCTGAAGCAAAGATCATGATGGTAATGTCAATTCTTTAGTGGAGAAATGCATTTCAGTCTTGGGCTCAAACTAAGACCAGACCAGGGCAGACCAGGGCAGACCAGGGCAGACCAGGGCAGACCAGGGCAGACCAGGGCAGACCAGGGCAGACTGCAGACTGCAGTCATACGTTAAAACTGCATAATGTATGGCTCCTCATTGTTTAATGCTTACTAATATTCTGTCAACGTCTATTTATTGGCCTTATTTTTAATGCACACTCCTATTTTAGTTTATAAATAAATATATTTATAACAGTTCTTAGTTTGTACTGTCACTGTTACTGACAATGCTAATTAAACTAAATACTAAATAAATTATATTTTCTCACCAGATATGTGACTTCTTGAATGGAGCTTTCAGACTTGATGTTCAGAACCAGGGATAGTTCTCTCATTTTGATTTCTTGGGCTTTAGAGTCGATGAACAGGTAGTTCGGTTGCCATGGACGTGCAGGTCTGTAAGGATCCACTGTCACTTGTATTTTAGCCTGTTTCTCTGCACTTAGATCTGTTTTGTCCGTAGTTACCTTGAGAGAGAAAGCAGAGCATAGCAAGCAGTACATATGTATTTAATGTACAGAAGTGGACTGAAGGAGTGTGACATCACTCATAGCGTTTGGTTGCAGAAAGTCAGGGTTAGTAGTTATAGCAGCTCATTTGGAGCCAAGTTTCATCTTTGGAAATCTGGCTGTGCAACTAAAAAGTCGATCAGAAGCACAATGTTGAAGATAACGTCCATCCAGGCTGCACCACTTGTTTGGCAGGAGGTGTGTGCTTAGCAACACTGTCACTCCAACCTGTTACTAACACTCGAGGGTACGACCTCAGGGAAAGATGACTCCTCACTGGTCTGTTATTAATGTTCATATCTGGATTTATGGACAGAATAGTGAAATAAAAAGGGATCATGGGGCTGGTGAGGATTTCTTTTTTGCTGTGATACCAATGAATGGCCACTAGTCCAACTCACAACAGGTCTGACCTAGCAATAGCCAGTTATTTTAAAAGATCCACGGTGGATAAAGTCTATGACCACAGCACAAAAGCCAATGTGTCTGATATTTACAATGATTGTCTGGGGGCTGATCTCTTTGGGCATGTTGATGGACACTGCGGCGATCCCATAGTGGCTGGTCAGAGGTTGGTCGTGCAGGTTGACCCTCAGGTTGATGTTGTGGACTGGACTTCCATCGTGATGAGTCACATGGATCTGAAAGAGAAACAGGACACTTCTGACTGCATCTGTACTAAACATGATTTACACTAAAGTCCTACAAATCCAGTTTAGAGATGTGGGATGGAAGCGGAGAGAAATTAAAATGCTGTCTACCTTGAAGCTTGTACCTTTTTATCCAAAAATAGACATAAGATAAGATACACATCTTATTGTGACTGGGCTTGCACCTCCACAAATCTGATATACCGGTGTATACCGGTATCTAGAATGTTCTCAAATATGGTTTTAACTTCGTATATCCATGGAATTGTGACGTGCCACTTGCAGAAAGTTACATAGTGTTGCTTTTAACTTGTTCTTAGTCTACTAAGACCATAAGGCCTAAGAGGCAACTGCTGTTGTGATTTTGGGTTTTACGAAAATAAATTGAATTGAATAATCACACTTCACTGAGCATGAATTAACCAGAGATCATTTTGACTCTGTTTAGCTTAACTATGTGGACTTAACATAAGCAGAAAGTGCAAAACAAAAATCTTACTGCAAAATATAAGGGCAGGCCAGGTTTGAAGTACTTTTGCATGTCTTTTAGTTCTAAGACATAAGGTGAATTCACTATTTTAATGTTGCTTAACTCGACCTCAACCAGGTCACCACCTGTAAGAAAAGCACAAGGTTCAGCAGTGCAGAAGAGAGGAGGAAGTCCACTCCACAAGTTAAAGCTTTACACAAGAAACAGACTACACTTCTCACTTTCCCCCAGAATGATCACGATCATAGTTTAACATGAATGAAAAAGTGGGACTTTACTTTGGAGGCCTGGTTCTTCATGTGTCTTTTCAGCATGTTTGAATGGGATTTGCACCTCACTTTACCTGATGCTGTGAGCACTGTGACTTTGAGGTACACATATTTGTCCACCAGAGATGTGACAGAGCAATCCGACTTCACACTGCCAGACTGCACTTCACAAGCCTGTTTGATTTCATCCATGGTGAGTATAAGAGTTTCTTTGTTTCCCTCCTACAAACAAGAATAAGTAAATAAATAAAGTAAGTAAATGGAAGGGCACTTGCACAATAACTTAGTCACTTTTACACATTTACTCCACACTCGGTGGTGGTGGGATTACAACTACTCTGGGCAGACTGATGGAAGTGGGACTGTTAATCTGCACCATTGACCGATCGACCGCTCCCCCCACCACCAACACACACACACACACACACACACACACACATACATACACATACATACACATACATACATACATACAAACACACACACACACACACACACACACACACACACACACACACACACACACACACACACACACACACACACACACACACAGACAGACACACACACATACATACACACACACACACACACACACACACACACACACACACACACACACACACACACACGACACAGACACACACACATACATACAACACATACACATGCACACACAGACACACACACGATACAACACGCACACACACACACACACACACAGAGACACACACACACACACACACACACACACACACACTTGGTACTCCCAACGGTCTCCCATCCAAGTACTAACCAGGCCCCAACATGTTTAGCTTCAGAAATTTGATGAGATCAGGCTTTGAACAAGGAGGATAGTGTATTTCATTTTAAGGTTTGGGAGTTGAAATATTGGATACTGTGTATTGTTTCAGTGAATATTGCCTTACCAGTTTCATTTGCTTCACTTTGGGAGCCCTCATGATCTTTTGACCGTTTTTCAGTCCATAGACCACATATGCAGTTCCAATAACAGGTTCACCATAAAGATATCTTAAATACAAATGCAAGAAAGCATCACATTACATCACAATAATCACACTGTTCTGTTCTTATTAGATTATTACAAGTGTACTCTGTAACTTTTCAGGTGAGGGGTCTGTCATTTGCTTGTCACCATTGCGTTGCTTAGTGTGTCCCACAGTATGGCACTGTTACTGTATATCTTTATTATATTTACTCAGTGTTGGGAAGGTGACTTTTAAAATGTATTCCCCTACAGATTACAGATTACATACCCCAAAATGTAGTTTATAACGTAATCCATTAAATTATTTAAAGTGAGTAATGTAATCTGAATACTTTGGATTACTTGATTTGCTGTAGAGAAGCAAAGACGAGGATATTGTAACATAAGATGTTTTTTCTGCTAAAAGACAATAAAAAAGCCCAGACTTTACTTAACGGTATTAAAAATATTATTGATAGAATGCATGGTTTAGTCCTGTTAAATCTTGATTTAGACCTGGTTTTAGACCTGGTTTTAGTCCTGGTTTTAGTCCTGGTTTTAGTCCTGGTTTTAGTCCTGGTTTAGACCTGGTTTAGACCTGGTTTGGAACTGGTTTAGACCTGGTTTAGACCTGGTTTGGAACTGATTTAGACCTGGTTTAGTGTCCATCAATGAGTGGAATTACCAAACAAAAAATAAACAAAAAAAAAACAACAAAAAAGGGAATAGCCCAAAATGTGAAAACAGGAAAATACCGCAATGTAATCCATTTATTTCAACCAAGTAACTGTAATCCAATTACCTCTCACTGAAACAGTAACTGTAACTGAATACAGTTACTCATAATTTGTACTCTGATTACATAACTCCAGTACATGTAATCTGTTACTCCCCAACACTGCATTTACTTGTATTTTTATTGCTTAAAAAACATTGAAAAACATGCATTCTAACTATGAATGAGGGGCCTCCTTAATACCATAAAGTGGAACATTCCGGGCAAGGAAACTGTATCCCCATGGAGACAAGCATGTGACAGACCATAGACCAGAAAAGTTCCATAGTGCATTTTAAGAAACAGTTTTGATTGACAAACCTTGCACTGATGTCCACAATCACTTGAGTGTCATCCACATTCAGGTACGGTTTTGTGGGCGTGACAGTGAGATTAAAGGCAGGGAGCACTGAGTTAAGAAATAAAAATCAGTAGATTCAAATCAAACATAAAGGTGCATTGTGTAACTTTTCCGGTGGAGGGTCCGTCAAATGGTTTTCTTCATGGAGACGTCATTGCTTTGTCTGGAATGTTTCACAGTATGGCATTAAACATTTCTATCTCCATGGAGACCAAACCACAGGTCAGATCTGTGGAGAGGCGACCCCGCTCACAGTCAGAATGTCTGTTTTTCTAGCTATTTCTGGGAGATAAAAGCACCTGTAAGTGAATAAATGTGAAGTAGAGCTGTCATACTGTGGAACATTTCAGACAGATCATTTACATATCCATAGCAACAAGCAGGTGATGAACCTCCAACCAAAAGTAACATAGTGCACCTTTAAAGAATATTCAGTTAAGTGAAGTAAAGCTGTCAGGGGGCCTGTAGAGTTCAGAGTGAACAGTGAGACATACACACTGATAATCCTGTGTTATGGTAGATTATTACTACTACCAGTGTTGGGAAGGTGACTTTTAAAATGTAATCCCCTACAGATTACAGATTACATACCCCAAAATGTAGTTTGTAATGTAATCCATTAAATTACTTAAAGTGAGTAACGTAATCTGAATACTTTGGATTACTTGATTTGCTGTAGAGAAGCAAAGACGAGGAAATCGTAACATAAGATGTTTTATCTGTTAAAAGAAAATAAAAAGCCCAGACTTTACTGAACCAAATTAAAAATATTATTGATAGAAGAAGAGACACGGTCCACGCAACATGGTTCAGTCCTGTTAAATCCTGGTTTAGTCCTGTTTTAGTCCTGGTTTAGTCCTGGTTTAGTCCTGGTTTTAGACTTGGTTTAGACCTGGTTTAGACCTGGTTTAGATCTAGTTTAGACCTGCTTTTAGTCCTGTTTTAGTCCTGGTATAGTCCTGGTATAGTCCTGTTTTAGTCCTGGTTCAGTCGTGGTTTTAGACCAGTTTTAGACCTGGTTTAGATCTAGTTTAGATCTAGTTTAGACCTGATTTTAGTCCTGTTTTAGTCCTGGTATAGTCCTGTTTTAGTCCTGTTTTGGTCCTGGTTTAGTCCTGGTTTAGTCCTGTTTTAGTCCTGGTTCAGTCGTGGTTTTAGACCAGTTTTAGACCTGGTTTAGATCTAGTTTAGATATAGTTTAGACCTGCTTTTAGTCCTGTTTTAGTCCTGGTATAGTCCTGTTTTAGTCCTGTTTTAGTCCTGGTTTAGACCTGGTTTTAGTCCTGGTTTTAGTCCTGGTTTAGACCTGGTTTAGTTTCCAGGAATGAGTGGAATTATCAGGAAAAAAAAAAAAAAATGGGGGGATTTAGCCCAAAATGTGAAAACAGGAAAATATCTCAATGTAATCCATTTATTTCAACAAAGTAACTGTAATCCAATTACCACTCACTGAAACAGTAACTGTAACTGAATACAGTTACACATAATTTGTACTCTGATTACGTAACTCTGGTACATGTAATCTGTTACTCCCCAACACTGACTACTACTGTTTACATATTTGATCAAAATGTGTGGTTAAACAGACACTTTTGAAAAGTAATTGCCTCTTGTTTAAACAATAAGGAACAAAAACACAGCAAGAAATCAGATGTGAAGTTTCAGGTTGGACCTGGAAGTGACAACATTTAACAACTCTGTAGAACTTTATGGGAGATACATTGTTTTTGACAGAAATATCCAAACTTATGATCCACAAATGTTGAACCTTTATTCATTATTTGTTAGAGATTGGCTCCACATATTTATAATCTTATTTACTTTTTATTTAAGAGGGGATGTTATACTATTTATTTAGTTTTTTAGTTTTCTACCATGTTATATTATTGCTCCCTCGTCAAAAGCCTGCCTGAAGAGGTTTTACATGTCATCCACGCATGTTTGAGTAATTTAGCGGTCTCTCCCAGGTCCTATTCAAACCCTCCTTACATTTAGCTGTAAGATTCTGTACAATGCTCCACCCACAAGCCTACGTCCCCCATTCTCCCACCTGACAATTCTATAAAAATATACAAAAGCAACATACAAAACAGTATACGGCATCTTCACAAACCAGATGAACTGTGCAGCAGTTTCATTAGTGGGATGCACGGTGATTGTGTTGTGAAAGTGCTCTGAAGGGGGAGTGACTTAACACAGGGAGTGTCAAAAACTAAAGTCCATCCATCCATTTTCGTCCGCTTATCCGGGGCCGGGTCACGGGGGCAGCAGCCTAAGCAGGAACTCCCAGACTTCCTTCACCCCAGACACGTCCTCCAGCTCCTCTGGGGGACCCCGAGGTGTTCCCAGGCCAGCCGAGAGACATAGTCCCTCCAGCGTGTCCTGGGTCTTCCCCGGGGCCTCCTCCCGGTGGGACATGCCCAGGAGGCATCCAGAACAGATGCCCGAGCCACCTCAACTGGCTCCTCTCGATGTGGAGGAGCAGCGGCTCTACTCCGAGCTCCTCCTGTGTGACTGAGCTCCTCACTCTATCTCTAAGGGAGCGCTCAGACACCCTGCGGAGGAAACTCATTTCGAGTGCTTGTATCCGCGATCTCGTCCTTTCGGTCACTACCCAGAGCTCATGAGCTAAAGTGACACTTATAAAACATAGGTAGATAACATACTGATCTAAATATGTTATGTGTCAGCAGTTAATACCCCATCAAACAAAAATACCCACCTTTTTAAGAATTATCCAGGTTTAAGTAACAGTGATGTCAAATAATGTAACAGTCCAATTAACATACCATATTTTTTCACTTCAAAGGTGGTATTGAAGTTGTTCTGAGGCCAGTGATCAAATTTGGCTATTATAGTCCACTTTCCTTCACTGCAAAGAAAACAGAAGTTGTCAACACTGTACAATAGTTAATAATATTTACACTTTCTTTTAAAGAGTAAAAAAGACTTGCTTCACAATTTCAGGAATAGTGTAGGATTCAGGTAAGATTCCATTATATGGTATTTTGGTCTTTTTCAATTCGACAATAACACCGTCTGAATTCTTAAAAATACAAAATAAATGTGTGAGATCATCATAATCAGACCATTTCTACAGTTCATTTTAAAGGTGCATTGCACAACTTTTCTAGTGGAGGGTCCATCACCTGCTTCTGTTCATGGAGATGTTATTGCTTAGTCTAGAATGTTTCAAGGTAGAGATTATACGTCTTTTCAAGGGAGACTACTATAAATTATCTTACAGGTCAGATCTGTGGAGAGTCTTCTCTCCTACTCACAGACAGAATTATTCTATTTTTGAGCAATAGAAAACAACTGCAATGAATAAATCCTAGATGGATATGTCATACCATGGAACATTCCAGGGAAAGCACTAACATCTCCATGGAGACAAGCAAGTGACAGACTCTCCACTAGAAAAGTTCCGCAATGCACCTTTAATGTTTATTTAATGTTTATAATAGTACCAACCTTGATATCCAAAGCTACGCCATTTGAAGCACTGGCTTTGAACGACGTGGAGGCGGCATATGCACGTATCCGGACTGAAAAGAAAAACAGATTTTCAGTGTTCAGTGTTCAGTTAGGGTGTAGCTTTACATAAAGAACACTGGGCTTCATTCATGAATCTTTTTTTTTTAAAATGTTTCCACTTTAAGAAGATGCTGAAAGAACTCTGCTCCAGATTAACAAAACAATTCCTTCTTAAGTGACAACTGCACTGAATTCACCAACACTCAGCTCCAAACACCTCCATGCACATTTATATTTCATTTACATAGAAAATTAACATGCATTAGAAACGCCCTCTTAACTTCCAAATATGGCTAATATTGGTTTGACATTATGATGTGTGAAAGTGTGAGGGAGCCTGAACGAGGACGTCAGGTGAACTGTGATTTCAAACATCCAAATTCACATGAACACACTCAAGGAGGGAAGATTTAAGTCAGAAACGCAGCTTTGATCATATTTATCATGCTTTCCACTATTGTGGACCTGTGGTAAATACCAAGGGAGAGGGGCTGGGGTGGAGGTGTACAAGAGTGAGCTCTGGTCATGGGGGGTCAGGGGAGATGAAGAGGTGTTGAGTCCAGCGCGGTGATCATGCGCAGGGCTGTGACAGAGGCCCATATGGAGGCACTGGGGCTGGGACAGACTGAGGCTCATTGCAGCCTGGAGAAAGTCTGTTCGACCCAATCATAGACCGTATATATGAATGGACGTAGCTAACTCGCTAGTCGCCGCGTGCCAAATAGAACGTTTGCCAGGAGGCTCTTCCGGGTCCTTCTAACCCTGGCTCCAATTGACTTACATTATGAGCTTGTTGCTCCTCTCTCTGTACCTGCTGCTGTGAGCCTCATCATTTTGGCCTTAAAATATTCGTATTAACCCGCTCTACATCATCCTGAATTTTTTTTTTCACTATTTTGTCGGTCAAAAAATCCTATTCATAACATAAAGCCTGGCTCCAGATTGGGTCCTCCTAACCGTGAGCATCACGAGCCTCATTTGAGCGGAGCAAAGTCACACTCGCTTAGTCCACTTCTTTTATACAGTCTATGGACCCAGTAGACACATGCTCTATAAAACAACTCATAAATGTCATTGGATCACATAGTAACATGTTTATTGAAAATAATTTAAGAAAATATACAACTTACAATCATGGAGGAACTTGCATTATCAGAGTAATAATATTCTAAGACAGTAGAATTTTTTTTCTCACGAGTGCTTCTGACTGTTCATTGGATTTGTTTTTCCAGAAGAACATTTTCAGTTAAGAAAAAATGATTGAGTGCCAAAAATGTTCGTAAGAAGGCCTTAAGTACAATGAGGCCCATTGTGTATTGTGCCTATGGCAGGTTTTCAGATTTTTCTTATTACTACTTGGGCCAGTAAATACTTGTGGTTTATATTTCTCATAGTTTTACAGAAGTTAAGTGGCAGTTTGTGGGAAAAAAGTGAAAAAGAAAAGTAGAAACAGACAGGAAATAGCACTGAGTTGATGTTATTCCATTCAAAATGCAGGTGTAGTGCTGACTGCGTCTGTAGGCTGAGGGTGTGTGGTCCCCAGTAATCCAGTGCCCTGTTCATCCCAGTAACAGATCTATCACTTCAACCAATTATTTTATTACAAATTCTGCTCTTGTTGGTGCGTGCTCACAGCCCAGGTTTGCCACCGCTGCCTTGTACATCTGTCTTTGTGCCACACTAACTTTATTGTATGAACTGAAGATGGGATTGTTTATGAAATGTTGTGTTCTACCCATAACAAATTCTCTCCCTTAAAGGTGCACTATGTAACTTTTCGGTTGGAGGTCCGTCACCTGCTTGTTTCTATGGATATGTAAATCATCTGCCTGGAATGTTCCGCAGTGTGATGTTAAACTGCTCTACCTTGGTGGCTTTATTGCTCAAAAATATATAGAAAAACGGGCATTCTGACTGTGAGCGAGGTCTCCGCTCCACAGATCTGATTTGTAAATTGATTTGGTTTGGTCTCCATGAAGATAGAAAGGTTTAATACTATACTGTGAAACATTCCAGACAAAGCAATAACGTCTCGATTAGGGGTGAGCAAAAATATTGAAATCTCGATATATCGTATCGTTTAATGTGATGATACAGTATTGATATCGTAGACTGCTGTATCGATATATCGCCAAGAGTATGTTTTGGTATATTTTACTAAATTATTTTGTTACAGCACTACAGTTTTGTTGTTCAGAGGAAGGAAACTCGTTTATGCGGCACGTTTGACCTTTTCATTGATTTGAGGATTAAAATGTTTGTGTTTCATATGAACTTTGCACAAAAAGTGGTTTCACAAAGACTTTTAGTGCCACAGCCACTTTACCCTTTATTCTTTATTGAACTGTATCAAATCCCTTTGAAATATATTGTATCGAATCCTATCAAATCGAAAGCTCACCGTATCGAGGTATGTATCGTATCGTGGCCTATGTCTCGAGGTATGTATCGTATCGTGGCCTATGTCTCGAGGTATGAATCGTATCGGCAACTTCTTAATGATACTCCAGTGCTAATCTCCATGGAGAAAAGCATTTGACGGACCCTCCACCAGAAACATTACAGAATGCAGCTTTAAAGCAAATTTTCCTATAAAGAAATAATTGTGAAATATGATTCTGTCCTCAATAATCAATGAACGTACCTGTGTCCTGATATGTGTAAAATCTATATTTCTCACTGGGTTTCATGGTATGTTTGAGTGAGATGACCGGTCAGGCCTGTCATTGAGTGTGTATATGTTAGAGAATTGTTATGTTATAAGCATTTCTCATTTAAAGTCTTCATCATTTAAAGGCTGATTCATCAACATTGGCTTTTTGTTTTGTCTTGTTTTGTTGTGTTCAAGCTGTATCAGGTGATCTTGCTGATGCACCAGCTGACTCATTAAGATAATGTAGAGGGAGAAACAGCTAGTAAGAAAAGGACGCCTCACCACGGATCTAATAAAGATTTACCGACACCGATACACCCTTCTTTCCTTCTTTCCCCAAAAATTAACTTAAATCAATTTAATAAACCAAGAAAAATACAAACCATGAGCTCCTTTAGCAGAGGAAGCTCGGGAGGTTTAACCAGCTGTACGGAGCTATGAGATATCCCACAATTAAATCCCACATTAAAATCTTCTGCATAAATAAACTCAACTTTACAACATATAAATCATAACCTCTATAGAGCCACATGATCAGATCATTCAGCTCTGATCACATTTGTTTACATTTTACAGAAACGAAACTTAAGACCACATGGGTCATTAGCATAAACTGTTAGCGGTGATAAAAACAACTGCTTCTTTGTGCTTCTGTGATCAGCTTCTTTTTGACTAAATGACACGACTCAGTGGATTATGTGTGATCTTTTTGTGACAGAAGAGACGCTAAAGATGGTAAGTCTGTACCGTGTGTATAACGTATATGCAGTGTTGGGAAGGTGACTTTTGAAATGTATTCCCCTACAGATTACAGATTACATACCCCAAAATGTAGTTTGTAATGTAATCCATTAAATTACTTAAAGTGAGTAACATAATCTGAATACTTTGGATTACTTGATTTGCTGTAGAGAAGCAAAGACGAGGAAATCTTCACATAAGACATTTTGTCTGTTAAAAGTCAATAAAAAAGTCCAGACTTTACTGAACCAAATTAAAAATATTATTGATAGAAGAGGAGGAGACATGGTCCGCACAACATGGTTTAGACCTGGTTTTAGTCCTAGTTTAGTCCTGGTTTAGTCTTGGTTTAGTCCTGGTTTAGACCTGGTTTAGACCTGGTTTAGTCCTGGTTTACATCTAGTTTAGACCTGGTTTTAGACCTGGGTTAGTGTCTGGCAATGAGTGGAATTATCAAAAAAAAAAAAAAAAAAAAAAAAGGTATATAGCCTAAAATGTGAAAACAGCCATGTAATCCATTTATTTCAACAAAGTAACTGTAATCCAATTACCACTCACTGAAACAGTAACTGTAACTGAATACAGTTACTCATAATTTGTACTCTGATTACGTAACTCTGGTACATGTAATCTGTTACTCCCCAACACTGCGTATTGGAGATAGTTCATGTTTTAGCTTTTCAGTGATCACATGAGCGCAGGTCGCATGAGCGCAGGTCGCATGAGCGCAGGTCGCATGAGCGCAGGTCGCATGAGCGCAGGTCACATGAGCGCAGGTTGTACATGTGCAGGTTTAGCGCAGCTCTTTATTTTACAGTTATTTCACTCATGTATGATCACTTTATTTATGTTGATCACTTTATTTATGTTGATCACTTTATTTATGTTGGTCAATTTATTTATGTTGTTACTGCTGTGGTGAAAAGACTGGAAAGTGTCTTTTGGAAGCATGCGCACTCAACTTTATGTTGCAGTAACCGGGATACTGCGTTTACATGCCACAGTATCCCGGTTACTATCGGAATAAACCAGCTACAGTAACCCGATTTCTAATAACTGGGATACTGCCATGACCAGGATACTGAAACCGGGGTACTGTGTTTACATGCACCATGAAGAAACCGGGATACTCAAAAAACCTGATCATAACCAGGATACTGACGTGCATGTGCATGTGCATTATGCACTTTAAAGAGTTCTCACCTGTCTCCCCTGGTCTGTAAATGGGTTTGTCCGTCTGAATAAAGATGTATCCAGCTTGAAAAGAAACCAACATGGCTCTTTTTTCGGTGTGCAGATTGCCAAACCTCACCTCCAGATTTACGTACTGCTTTTCTTTGTCATTGCGCCTTATATTTGTTGATGATGGTAACTGTAATTTAAAAAAAGACAGACCAACTTAAAGCTAGGAATTTCACAGTAATTACAATATTGATCAATAGATTAAAGGGCCCATATAATGTTGTAATGTATTTTGTTTTTTGTTTTTTTATCAAAAACATAACTGGAGATGTGTTTTGTTTCATTCACACATGTTTAACACAAACCCCGCACATTTACTTCTTCTCTCAAACAGAAAACACTTTGTGATGTCATTTAGTAATACAGGAAGTGTTCCACTGACATATTCACTAGAATCATTTGGATCATTTCTGCTTTGAAATTGCCTGTCTCTGTTGAATCAAAGGGAAAAGGTAGCTGTTAACTTGAAAACTATGTATGTAGATGTAGATGGACTAATAATAAAGGATTACTCAAACAGAGTTGGGAAGGAAGTGAATACATGCACTGAGAATATGTATTCTGAATAGTAATTTTGAGTAACTGTATTCCAGTATAGTTACTTTTTCATTTGGTTGTATTCAGAATATGGTTAGTTTTTTAAAAACTGAGAAATACATTATAGTATTTGATGACGCATTTAGTCTCTAAGCAAAAAAAAAAATAGACAACTCTGTTTTTGTGGTATTTTTGTGTGTGATTTTTTTTTTCTCCAGTTAGTGAGATGCATAACAAACATTGAAACAAATATGAAGATAGTCCGACGAGGTTCATTTTGTCTTCTGATAATTTATGTTATTAGTTTCTTTTTTCAGACCAAGAGTTTGTTTTCATACCTCAGAGTGGTCATGTGATGTTGCTGTGACGTGTCTGGTCAGATGATTTAAACAAGTTTTGGCGCTGTCTTCCTACCGGTGGAGGCAGGACGACAGCGCCATCTGCAGTCCCACTTCCTCAGAACGGTATCCCAGGTGTGTGAGAGTAAAAAGCCCCTCGTCCTGGTTTGGGATGGAGCAAACATCATTGGGACAGAGGAAAACAAACATCGTCGCTGGATTAAAGAGGCAATCGAAATACAGAAACGTGCCCACGGGATTATAAACCGGGACGAGGGGGCTTTTTTACTGTCACATACCCGGGATACTGTCCTGAGGAAGTCGGACTGCAGATTACCTGTAAAACCTGTATAAATCAGCTGACCAGACACGTCACAGCAACATCACGTGACCACTCTGAGGAAGACGCTAGTGAGCAGTCCAAACTGTCAGGTATGAAAACAAACTCTTGGTCTGAAAAAAGAACCCAACAACATAAATATGAAGATGTTTTTAATAATATGTTGAGTTTTTACAATATAATTTAAATGCAACTTGATGTAGAAGTATTCTAAGTATTCTGAATACAGTACTGTGATTGGACATTGATCAGAATACATTACAACATACTATTTAATTTGGGTATTCAGTATTCTGTAACTAAATACATTTCAGTAGTATTCATCCCATCACTGCTCAAACATGTGTGAACAAAACACAACTCCAGGCATGTTTTGATGAAGTAACAACATTCTAATATGGCAAAAAGCAATTATGCACAATTTAGCATAATATAGAACTTTTAAAAGATAAATAACACAGCAAAAAATGTTTCTAGACATTTCAAAATATTGTTATTCTTTGTAAACCCGATATGACAAGCATGCTCTCACCCGGATGGGTACCAGTGTGTGGTGTTTGTTTGCCACACTGAGGGATGTGTAGCCCTCAAACAGTTGTCTTGTGTCCGTTTTGAAGTCTCTTATCGTCACGGTAACTTGGATGGTGTCTGTAACTCCGGTGGCCTGCACGAAAATCTTCTCATCACTGTCAACCCGAATCAGGTTTGGAGCCACAACCACAAACCTTTAACCAAAAACTCAAGATTAGCTGCAAGAAAAAAAATTGCAACTCCAAGGGCCAGATTTACAAAGCGTTTACACATGAAATGGATAGGCCACACTGCTATAGGAGCTAAAAACATATGCAGTTTGTGTCTCTCTTGTATGAGTGCTAGAAAAAAAATTGGTTGCGATCGTGCGAGAATCATGAGAAAATGCACTATATAAAATAGTTACATTTGGATTTGAGCATTTAAGGGGAAGTTAGCCAAAACACGAAGAGCAACTGTTTATTTGATTCATTATTCTCCACAGTATTATACATTTGAACCCACAGGTTCTCATGCACGAGCGCATCCACTTTCCTGGACCATAGACTTCTATAAACCAGTCTGTGGCTGTGACCCAACACAGACAAAACGAAATAATGACCAGACCTGAAAGAAATCTCTTCCCTCAGACGGAGCACAAGAGCCAGGCTTTGGTTTAATGAAGCACTGGGGTTAAAAGCAGTATATACACTTTACATTTGTCTTTACGCACTGAATGACAGAGTGGCTTGAGTCCGCGTGCGACAGCCTACTGGTCGAACCTGACCCGAACTCAAAATATTCCATGTATTTTTGTGTAATAGGGAGCTCTTGCTCTTGCTCTCAACAGTATAAAGAACACAATAATGTCTGTATCCATCCTGAGCCAGCCCTGTACACTCACAGAGGTCAGACCCAGGCCCGTGCACACAGGTAAGCAGAGTTTGGATATTTTGTGTGGACTTTAATTGGCAGAATAACAGTGCCTGATATGTATCTGATGTGTTACATGCCAAATCTTCTGTTCTACATGCCGCTGATCCACGTATCCCTTGCTCCTTTTACTCTTCCAGGGAGGGCATCTAAATCTCTCTGCCCCCTCCTTTGACCATTCAGACCCCCGCGTGCACATATCTATGCACATATGTGTATAAACACGGCCAGTCCCCACACAAATATCATAGGCATACTTAAAAATATAGCTATAAAACTCTTGAAACATCAAGCATCAGAGCAGCGGCAGAGGGACACACATTTGTACTTGTACTTATTTGTACAGTGTTGTTTCGTTCTGTACCTGGGTTGCTAAATCTGACCCTTTGTATGTATGACAAAAGTGGAACTAAATAGGGTCTAAAGCCAGAAATAGGATGGTCAAAAGTATCAAAAATCAGATACTAATCGATACCAAAATTAGAATTGAAACTAGATACTCATCTGAGCAGGTATTGAAGTCACATTCACAGGACAGAAATGAACCTTTTTAGTATAAGGACAACACTAGCTGGAACTAACTCAAACTAGGCCCAAACCAGGACTAATTAAAGACTAAAATGACTGCATCCTATAGTTTAAACACAATAACTTACTGTCCATTGCAGAAGTGGAGAGTTGAGAGAGTGAGAAGCAAAAATCTGGGAAAGGTCCAGTGAAGCATGTTGACCACTGCTTGCCTTGGCCCCAGACTGAGAGAGAGCTGCTGTCTGGGGGGGTTTCCACACAGGTCTGCCAAATACATCCAAACCTTGTACTTTACTCAATTGATAAAGACCATTTCTCGTAAGTGATTCTCTAATTTGTTTATTTAGTGTTGGAAAAACCTTTGATCTTGGTGCAAACATGGTCCTGTAAATGCAATTTCAACTAGACAGAATGTTTTGTTCTTAGTCATTCTTGTGTGTTTTTAGCTGTGTGTTTTGGGTCTACCTACGACTAAGCCCAAGCTTTCTGACACTAGGCAACACGTTTCATTCCAAAATACCTCGATAGTTTTGAGATTGCCTTGTTTTTTGCACAGATTCAAGACACCCTGAGCCAGACGCAGCAAAACAGCCCCAGAACAAAACCAAACCTCCTCCGTGTTTCACAGTAGGGACAGTGTTCTTTTCTTGGTCTGCTTCATTTTTGTGTCTGTGAACATAGAGCTGATGTGTCTTGCCAAAGAGCTTCAGTTTTGTCTCATCTGTCCAAAGAACATTCTCCCAGAAGCTTTGTGGCTTGTCAATATGCACTGTGGCAAATTCCAGTTTAACTTTTTTTATGATTTGCTCTCAGCAGTGGTGTCCTCACATGAAGTCCACTTTGGCGTAAACAGTGATGGATGGTGTGATCTGACACTCATGTACTTTGCCCTTCGAGTTCACATTTCATTTGTTTGGAGGTTGTTCTGGGCTCTTTAGTTACCGTTCGTATGATCCATCTCTTCAATTTCTCATAACTTTTCCTCTTGGAGCCGCGTCCAGGGAGGTTGGCTTCAGTCCTGTGGACCTTAAACTTGTGAAGAACATGTGTAACTGTAATCACAGGAACATCAAGCTGCTTGGAGATGGTCTTATTGTCTTTATCTTTATCCTGCTTGTCTATCATTTTCTTTCTAGTCTCCTGATACAGTTCTCTTCTTCTCTTTCTCTGGTCCATGTTCAATGTTGTGTCCATCATGTCTCCAAACAGCACAATGACACATGTCGCCCTTTAAACAGACAGACTGACTGAGGACAAGTTTGAAGAACCTGTGATGCAGATTAGAGACACACCGAAGTTTAACATGTCCCTATTGTCCAATCTTTTCTAGGGGAACCATCATTTCTGTCCAGGCCAGTTTCACTAGTTTTTTTTATTTTTATTTTTATTATTATTATTATTATTATATTGATCAACAATTCAAAAAGTGTCTGATTTTCATTGGTTATTTTTCATGACATTTTTATTTATTATTTCTGTTATTTCAGTGACCATTATTGATTTTTCTTTCATTACCAGAGGGGTACCAACAATTTTTAACATGCTTTGTATGTATGTTTTATACCCTCAATGTAATTTTTTTCAAAAGGTGTGATTGAGGGTTAGTATAAGACCACAGAGTAATATTAAGAAAGTACCGTTATTTTGAGTTGATCTGTAGTTGAATTTACAGTAAGCTAAAAATTAAAAAAGCTACTATTTGTAAGTCTGATTTGTGGCATTTGTGAAACCTGTTCCCCCTTCCCCTCATTTTTATTTTCACTTTCACACAGCAAAGCAGAAGAAAAGACTCTCTGGTAAAGAGGCCGGAGTTTGTTTTTCATGGCAAATGCACATTTTTACCCCGTGGCATGAGCACCTCTTCTAGTCTGCTCCAGTGTAAATGGAACAGCTCTGGTTTTACAGGCATTTTAAAAAATGAGTTTAAACTGAAGTAGGCCAGTAAACGGTAGTAACCGTAATCAGACAGCAGTAACGTGGATACATCTTGTGGTGATATGTGAGAATACAACATGGCCATGTTGACCAGCTAATTACAGACAATAGCTTTAAAGTTCAAGTGCACTGATACAGTTCAAACTCCATTTCTAGACTTAGACATACAGTTGATACTTGATATTGATTTCTATATCACGGTAATAATGCAAAATATGCTGTGTTTTAAACATGTCATTTTCAACCAAAATCATAATAATAATGTTGCTTATACCATGTGGTCTTATTGTTCTGATAGAGCTCAAGATCAGTATTGATTATTATCAATATTTGCTCAAAACAGTTCCCAGTTTGATAGTATTAGTTTTGATTAGTATCTGATTTTCAATACTTTTGACAACTCTACTATGGATACACATATGTTTTGTTTTTGTTTGTTTGTTGTTTTTTTCTCACATAAATTTCATTTAATAGGTAAAAAGTGTAACTTTTCCTTAAGGTTGTGGGGATATTATGTGTCCAGCAGTGATGGGCCTGACAGATGATTGGTGCACACTGAGGTTTGTGTGGAATCCAAAGATGAAGGGTCCAAATGAACCCAAACATAGTGACACAGACAGATTAAGACTTAGACAAATTTAATCTGTCGGTGTCACAAGGGAAATGACTTGGACACAGTAGCTCACATATCACAATATATTATAATAAAAAAGAGCAAAGGTTATAGATGCTAATAATAAATTCTAAATAAGTAGCACAACAGATACCAAAAGACATCATTATATAAATGGATATAATAAATAATATATGGATATATAAATGATGTCAAATAAGACATCATTATATAAATGGATATGTAAATGTAAAATAAAATAGAAAAATAAGTAATAAAAAATGTCTTTTAAAAAATCTCTCTATATAAGAGGTCATAAGGAAGCCTATAGGATCTAATATTACAGTTATTATACATCATACATACATGTTTTGGAATGTTATAAAAGCATAATATTTGTTCTTTAAATATTTGGTTGTATTGCATACAATACAATTTAAATCTGTCATAAAAAATAAATAAATAATCTGTCAGACAAAAGTATCAAATACAAATAAATATTTATTGCTAAACGTTTCTGTTTATCATTCACATATTGGTGAAGAATAAATAAATATAAATGTATAATCATAAAGGTAGCTGTGATACACTTTACATTTGGAGATCTGACATTATTTGCATGCATGTATTGTGACAACTGAATTCACTTTTCAAGTTCAAATACTCTAGAAAGTGCAAAGTATAAAAGTTTATGGAGCACTTATATTCAATATTCAGTGTTTTGACAAAAGAGTAATGTTTTTGATAAATAAGTTCAATCCAAAGTTGGCTTGGTGAAGTGAAAGGCATTTAATTCTTATCATTCAAGAAAACCCTGTAATATGGTACATGCTTAGAGACTTTTAGAGATTTGCTGTCCCCTGCTGGTCAAACCGTCACATTATTTGTGCTTATATGTACTATATTAAAGTACTTTGTACCACAACAAAAAGCTTAACCATTTGATGAAGTGTTTATGTTTTTGTAGCCACAAGAGTCTTATCTTTTGTGCAGGAAAGTTAAGAATTGATGTACTTGCTTGTATTTAACAGAATGAATTAAATAAGATGTTCTTGATCAAATTTGGTGTATCTAAATGCCGTGGTCAGAAATAGCAAAATAACTACAATAAAATCTATAGCCATATATTGATACACCCAGTCTCCTATTGAACATTAGACAATCCTACTGTACTGCATACAGAGATGTTACAACACTGTGGAGAGACACAAAGAAGTAAAAAAAAGCAGAAAAAGTTGATGATCAACCTGAAGTAGTTTTGTGTTTACTCTAGCTTTAGCCATGTCTCACAGCACCCACTTGGAACTTGGAATTACTAAATCCCTTTTTATCCTGGTGGTCAAAACGTGACATTATTTCTGTTTCAGCAGAATATCAAGTGTTTAGAAACGTTGTGGGTTTAACTATAGCCACACTCCTACCTTTTCTCTATAGATCTCTCTAATTAGGAAAAATAGCAGCACGGAAATGATATTGACAACACACTAAACAACATAATCAGACCTTTTACAAAAAAAAGACTATTTGTGCTGAGGAATTATGTTTTGTTGTTTTGTTGAATAATTTAAGTTTGGACTTTTAAAATTGACTTTTAAAATTTTAAAAGTCTTTCAAATTGACATTGAGCATTTCATTTGAAAGTAAGCATCAAACAAATGTTTTGGTTTTTTTTTTACATCCAGAGATAAAATTCTGTGTTGAGCATACAGGTAAAACAAGCAGCCTTATCCTCATTGTCTTTTAGAGTATTCAAGGTTGCCGACCCCGTCCTAAACAGAATTGGAAAAATATATTAACCCATATATGTGTGTATGTGTGTGTGTAATGTAATATAATATAATGTAATGTAATGTGTTGTAATGTAATATAATACAATATAATATAATATAATGTAATGTGTTCTAATGTGTTATGTTATGTTATGTTATATTATATTATATTATATTATATTATATTATATTATATATTATATATATATATATTATATTATATTACATTTCATATAATATGTTATTTATATCGGCCTGAACAAAGTCAGGGTTACTCAATGGTTGGGAAGTATGACAAAATAATCATGGCCATAAGGGCCTGTTACACACACTGCCATGGCTAGACAAAGGAAATAAGCCGTTTAGTCTGACTCTCTAAATTAACCAATTTATGAAAAGAATAGTTAAATATATTCACAAGCGGCAACGATTGGCCCTTGTACTCGCCTACGCTGCGCCCCGCAAACGCCGCGCCCCACAAACAGGCACGCTGTAAACACTGTGCCCCTCAAAACAGTCCTTCCAAGCAAATTTTTATAATTTTAAATAATTTTTTTTTGAAAAATCATACCTTCATCAACAGTTCAAAGATGGAATAACACAAGACATGATGAAATACATCCATTTATTGACATGATTTGCAGGTCTGTGAAATTTGGGAAATAATTTTTGTTCCATGTTTCATACATGGTCTGTTTAATAAAACATATGGAACTTTAGAACCAAAAATGGTACAGAAAAAAGGTCAACAGTTTCATAAACTAGAGTACATATGTATCTGTTCAATACATTTTTATATCAGATGCATTGACTTGAATTTTTGGCCTTGCTGTTTACTTCTGCTTGACCGGGCCCCAATATGCAAATGTTAAAAGTGCACTGTGCGGCTCCATCTGTGGCTCCATCTGCAACTTCAACTTGTACCACTTCTCTGTCTCTCTTCTCTCTCTCTCTGCCCGTTCTAACTCCATATG